AGGATGGATGGGCTAAGTGGCAGCATCGATGGACTCAAGCATGGCAATAGCAGTGAGGTTGGCCCAGGATCGGGCAGTGTTTCGTTCTGCTGTGCATAAGGTCGCTATGGGTTGGTACCGACTCAATGGCACCTAACAACAACAAAAATGGTAATAAACTATTACAATAGGGTCGTGAGAATTCCATGGGCTAATGCAATGCTGGAGTCCTGGTGTGATGCGATGGGTTAATGCGCTGGATTGCAATGTTGGTTTGAACTGCAAGGTTGCTGGTTCAAGCTCACCAGCTGCTCCTTGGAAACCCTATACAGGGTCACTATGGGTCGAAACTGACTCAATGGCACTTAACAACAATGTAATGCTGGGTGCAAAAGAAATGCTTAGCAAATTATAGTAGCAATGTCTCCTGTGTAGCAATTGCTTTTTTCCTAGTTATTTCTTTACTGGCTAACAAATATTTATGGTTTCATCTAAATTCAGTCTCTGGTTTTAGTTTTAAATTTTTTTATACTTTCTACAACCCTATCTGTTTGTTTCGTAAATATAATTGTTCTAGTAGTTATTGTTAATTCTATATCATTAGATAATCCCACTTCCTAGGGTAATTTTTTGAGTGATTTAAAAAAAAAATAGTATTTTACATTCATCTTTACAGCATGAGGCGGCAAAAGTTTTACAAGATGCCATCCATGAATTTTCTGGAACATCTGAAGAATTGCGTGTTACTATTGCTAACGCAGACCTAGCTCTCACCCAAGGAGATATTGAGAGAGCTTTAAGCATGCTTCGAAATGTTACAGCCGAACAGCCTTATTTTATAGATGTTAAAGAAAAAATGGCAGATATTTACCTCAAGTACAGAAAAGAGAAAATGTTATATATCACTTGTTACAGGTAAGTGATTATTTTGATTTGCTATATTTTAACAGATTTTGCCCCCTAACCTTAATCCCCCACCACTTGTCTGTCAGTTTGTTAAACTGCAGTGGCTTGCAAATTCATGGCATCTAACAATAACAGCAACAAACTTTAATCCCATGTTTATTTTTTATCTTTCTGTTAACTGCTTTACAGATACTTTACAGATGTTTGGCGCATTTGTTCTTCTTCCTTCTCCTTTATTGTTGTTGTTAAGTGCTGTTGAGTCGATTCTGACCCATAGTGTCCCTGTATAGGGTTTCCAGGGAGCAGCTGGTGAGCTTGAACCACCAACCTTGCAGTTCAAATGACTTTGCAATCTGACGCATTAGCCTACAGTACCACAAATTCACCCTAACCAAGTTGTTCTTCTTCTTTTTTTAGCTTTTTATTATAAACTGAATAAAGGTTTACAGACAGAATCATCAGTTTTACATTCAACAAATCATACACTTTGTTTCATCTCAAGGATTGCAACCCCCTCCATGTTGTTACAGTTGGCCCACTTCCTTCTGGTGATTACCTGTGTACACAAATATCCTCTTTCAACTCATACATTTGTGGAATATATAAGCATATATAGATCCTACTCTTCTTCCCATACCCTTTCAGCCTGTGTCTCTGTCCATGTATCTACATGCAGAACACTGTTGTTCCAAGGTTGTGTGTATGTATCTGTTTACCTCTGCCCTCTTTAGTGTTTGCACACCTCCCTGTGTCATCACCTATCTTCATCATTCTTCTGTCAACCTCTTTTTGTATATTGCGCTTCTCTTCACCCAACTTAACATGTGTTAACTAGAACATATTCTCAAGAGGGACCAGTCCCTAGAGAAGGACTTGATGCTTGGTAAAGTAGAGAGACAGTGAAAAGAAGGTAGGTGCCCAGTGAAATGGATTGGCACAATGGCAAAAGCAGTGGGCTCAAGTGTAACAACAATTGTAAGGATGGCATGGGACCAGGCGGTGTTTTGTTCTGTTGTGTATAAAATCACTGTGGGTCAGAACTAACTTGACAGCACCTAACAATGACAACAACCCTATAGCCAGTGAATTATACTCACTTCCTTCCCATTCCTTGTTATTGTTATTAAGTGCCGTCGAGTTGGTTCCAACCCATAGCGACCCTGTATAGGGTTTCCAAGGAGCAGCTGGTGAGCTTGAACCACCGACCCTGCAGTTCAAACTGCCTTGCAGTCTGGCTCATTAACCCACAGTGTGACACCCTGGTAACCATCAAATTATGTTTATTTTAGTATGAAAACCTTGTCTTGAGTTTTTACAAGACTCATACAATATTTAAAACATAATTATAATGACTTCATCCCGTGGCTTACTCTGCTTTCTCACTTTTCATCAAATGTTATATTTCGATCTTGAATATCTTTGCTTCATCTTCCTTCCTGCATTCAACTATATTATGCACTACAAAGCTCAGAACATTGTTCAGGTTCTTTGTAGATGCTGAGTGATTCAAAACATCTTAGCAGTATCTCATGGTAGATGAATAGGTAAAGTTCCCTGGTCACATTTTCTGTGATGCTTCCCAAAAGATCAGTGCTAACCATCTGTCTAATGATACGAAAATATTTAAAAATAAGTTTGGTTTGTTTTTGGTATATTATGGTGCAGTAGTTAAAAACACGTTTTTTGTTTTTATAGGCAGGTCTGAAAACGTAGACTTAAACTCTTAGTGTCACCTTTAAAATTGGAGCATCTTTTTTTTTTTTTTAGAGGAGGAAGTTTATTTACGGATGTGGGGAGAACATGGGAAGGCTCTCAGGCTGGCCAGCAAGGGGGCAATCAGTGAAGATTGAAAACAGATTCTCTAAGCCAGGTCCTGAGAGGACTCAGGAACTGCAGAACAGGGGGGTGGAGTTGAAGGGGGTGGGGAGCCTGTGTTGTCTGGACCCTAGAGAACAGAAAGCATGGTGCCTGATTCCCAGGGTCGAAGTCAGCTAAGAATTCTCAAATTAGAAGAAAACAGGAAGAATCTGAAGGTAGTCTGTATGTATGACCCCAAAGGAGTTTCAAAGGCCCAGCGCAGTGGGGCCTCCAGCAAATTCCATCACTGCTTAGGCACTAGGCACCATTTCCAGTTTGCAGAGGCAACTTATCCAGGACTTTGACCTTGACCTTGACCTTGACCTTGACTGCCCTCTGCTCTGGGGCCTGGCTTTCTGTTTACTCTGGCTCCCTCAGCATGGCCAGCAGCTCCCTCTGCTCTCTGTGTATGTAGTGCCTGTCAGGCCTGTTGCTGGGCCTGGACCTGCCACTGCAGCTCCTTTACCTGGCTGCGGCCAGCCTTGAAGGCATAGGCCAGCTGCTGGTTCTCAGCCTCCTGTTTATGCACACATCTCTGTAGGGTGCCCCGCTGCTGCAGGAAGTAGGGCACCATGGTGCTGTGCAGGTCTTCCTCTGGGATCCCACTAGGGCGCCATGCTGGTTCCTTTGGGTCGTTGCCTTCACAATTTCATCCAAGGCTTTCAGGACTGCTTCCAGGTTCCCTCTCCTGTTTAATTTCACAGATTTTCTCCCAGATAGATGTCTGCAACTGAGTTATAAACCTGTCATAGATCCACTTTGTCATCTCAGGCTGCAACTGGTGGAAGTGCTTGTAACAGTCAGTGAACCTCTGGTAGCTCCCGGCAGCGATTAGCTTCTGGAGGAAAGTGTCCACCATCGTGTCGAGGAGCTTCACCCTTGAAATGGTAGTGCCAGGTAGCAGAGACTTTGGGGACGTACCCTCAGGCGTATTTTCATCAAAATGGTTGTCTGTGTCACTGCTTCTTACTTCAGCCTGGAGCATTTGTTTTTCATAGGAATTATTGGACCACTTAAATGAGATACTTGCATGTTAAAGACTTAGTATTACATTATTATTTGAGTAAATTTGGTATTTTGACCTGAGGAAGACCTTTAGAAGTATAATTTTTCTCCGGTGAAAAATCAACAGCAAATACGGAATACTGATTTTATAATTTTTTTGGTAACTCATATTAGAATATGATTTATTCATAAATAATGAATCTCAAAATGAAAGGACAATACATTTTTATTTCCCCTATTTTTTTGAACCTTCACTACCACATCATTTCAAGGTTAAAAATAGCAAAACATGTATTTCTCAATAACCACAATTTACATTCTTGTTCTCCACTGATACTTGGTCGCCTTCATTTCAGAAAGTGGAAATATTTCATGAAGAAAAATTTTTTGTTGTTGGAAAGTAGTCTGTTGTTCTGAGACAGAGTAGTGGGATGGAGGGTTGAGGGAAGGTGCTCCTTGGTGAGGCAGGTCCGCTCTTCTTCACCTTCACAGGCTTCTTCTGTGCAGTGTGGCGCTAGCTTTGTGGAGGGCAGCCATGTGTGCAGCAACTTGGTGGGTATGGGTTGTTGCTGTCAAGGGCCATTGAGTGACTCATAGTGACTCTGTAAATAGGGTTTGCTGTAAATCTCTGTAAGAACAGAACGCCTCATCATTCTCCTGCAGAGTGCTTGGTGGACTCAAAATGCCCACCTTTGGTTTGTAGTCCAGTAGGTATGGGTATGAGGGAGATTTTTATAATGTTAACACTGCTAGATATGTAGAATGTACTCTGAAGACCATTGGCTAATTGAAATAAATTAAAAAAAAAAATTTATTTGTTTAGAAGAAGACATCTGTATTTATGATACTAAATAGAATTGATCTGATTTCCAGAGAAATTGCTGAGAGAATACCCTGCCCACGTTCCTTTCTTCTCCTTGGTGATGCATACATGAATATTCAAGAGGTAAAGTTTCTGATGCTATTGAACTTAGAATGTTTTGAAAAGCTCCTCTTTGTGATCAGTATGAGTAATATAACATTCTATTAAAAGGAGTATTTAATGATATTTGTTTAGTATTTGAATATCCAATCAACACAGTAAAAGCAAGGCAGCTATTCCAAAAAAGAATTTTTCCCCCCCTCAGATTGAGACACAGTAATTTAACCATATGAATACTTGAAACAGGGATGATACCAAAAGCATGTTAGACTTTAAATAGACTAGGAGAGCTACTTGCTAAGACGATGTTGTTTTGCATGGAAGCTGTTCTCTTTGATGATACCTGGTGTTCTCATAACTGCTAGAAATTGAGTCAGAAGTTGTCTCTGAAACTGGGGCCTGGTTAATACAGGTGGAGATTATACTATGGAGTACCTCAATATAGTTTCTTTGACCTCTCTGAAATTATTTAAGTTTCTGAACTTAAATATGTACCTAAGAATTCATATTAAGTATTCCAAATATAGAGCTTCATTATTAAAATGTTGCTATTTAATGAGATCCCATTAAGCTGTTTAATTATTATTTATTTGTATGCCTGCCAATATTAGCCTGAGGAAGCCATAATAGCATATGAACAAGCACTAAATCAGAACCCAAAAGATGGAACTTTGGCAAGCAAAATTGGGAAGGCTCTTGTCAAAACTCACAACTATTCAAAGGTAAGTATTTTAATTATGGAATATATTTATTGGATCAAGTTTATCAAACTCTTCTTTATAAGAAGTCTTCAGCAAGTGTTGTTTGCATCTTTGATCTTTGTAAACTCCAAATTTGTGTATAGAAAAAAGAATTTGTGTTAAAGGCTTTCTTAGTGTGTCATCATCACTGCATTTTGTGACAATTTTACTTTTAGCTTTATCTAGCAACTATATTATTGTCACCAAATCAGTTCAGCAGAGTTGCTTTTCTAACATTTATTCATGATGAAATATAATAGATGCACTTTCTGCTGAATCAATTTTAGTAAGCCTTGTGCTGTGAGGTATATTTTCTCTGGTAGAAATGATGGATTTTCTTTTAGCTGTTATGTTTTTGCTGTATTCTTGGTAACTGTTTCCTTCAGTAAGGCTTATTGGCCTCCACAGTAAAGCTTGTAAACTTGGCCAAGCACTGTTATTGTACAAAATGTTAGTTGCCATGTGTGATGATTGATTCTGTAAGATAACTGGGATACTTCACAACCATGCAGCTAGCTACATGCCTAAGTTCAGCCACCTGTATTTCCAGTTATGTATATGTTATAAGTCTAATGTATAAACATCTAATTTTTGAGGTTATTATCATTGCCTGGTTTTCTAACTGAAATGTTTTTGCTTAGGCAATCACTTATTACGAAGCTGCTCTGAAAAGTGGACAACAGAATTGTCTTTGCTATGACCTAGCTGAACTTTTGTTAAAATTGAAATGGTATGATAAAGCAGAAAAAGTTCTTCAACATGCTTTGGCTCACGAACCTGGTATGAAAGTCTTTCTGATTGGAACAAAGCATACCTGATATATCTGATCTGTTTTTAAAAATATTATATCAATATGTATTTGTATTCTCAGTACTTAATATGCATAGATTTGATATTCTTTATCAGAATGCCATTTTACTAATATAGATACTGGAAAATCTAACAATAGATTTATTAAACTGTTAATTTTGTTATATTGTTGTTGTTAAGTGCCATTGAGTCGATTCCGACCCATAATGACCCAGTGTAGGGTTTTCAAGAAGCAGCTGGTGAGCTTGAACCACTGACCTTGTAGTTCAAATGACTTTCCAGCCTGACGCATTTGTGATACTTTATTTTCCAAATTCATATATAGTAAGTTTCCACTAATAACCACTACTTATAGCATTTAAATCTAGAGACAGTTGACAGTCCCACCTCATTTTTTTTTAAGTAACACATGGTTATCATTTTAAAACTGGAACACTATAGAATGATATAATGTGTAAGTCTCTTGTTCCTACCATGAATCCATTTGCCCAGTCCTCAAACTACCTAGAGGTAACCATCGTTGTGTTTTGCTCTATATGCTTTGTGTGTGTAAATGTATTAAGTATAATATGCATAATTTTCCTTTTCAAAATTGAATTGCTCTTCCTGTTCTGAATTTCTTTCTACATGCAGATAGAGTTTGACGTCAGTATGTTTGTATCATGCTATCTAAAATAATGATAATAATCTATAACCTCATTAATTGTTTAACTTTCAACCAATTATTGGACATTTAACTTGTTTTTTATTGCTTTAGTATTATAAAGTATGCTTAAGTGTTTAAATCAAGCTCAGTGCTTGATATAAGTTTCTTGGTATTTCCTAAAAGCAAGATACTGAATCCAAGCATATGTACATTTAAAATTTAATTGTAGACTATCAAATTGCCTTTTTACAAGTTTGTACAGATCTTTATTTTTAAATAAATTCAGATCTTTATATTTATATTTAAATATTTTTAAATAAATTTCAATCATTGCCAAAATTGAAAGGTTGTAGAAGTAAATGAAAGTTGTATCCTCTTCAGCTCCCCAGAGAAAACTAAATTTATAACTTGTTGTGTATCATCTTTTTTTTTTTTTTTTTTTAATGTTTTATTGTGAATTATGTGATAGTTTACATGGGAGAACATTAGCTTTACATTCATCCTATAGTATATCGTTTCATTGCCATGGTTACAATCCCCTCCATGCATCATCAACCTACCAAAGTGTATACCCTGCTAGCCTGTTCCTCCCCCCTTCCCCCCGCCAGTTGTCAGCACACAGCCCCTCTCCCTCTGTGGATCTGAAGTCCCCAGCTGCTCCATCTCTCCACATCATCTTCTCTGCCTCCATCTCTGGCATCACTGTTTCTCTGGGTAGGGTCCCACTCTCCGCTCTTCTCCCTTGATGGTCCCAGGAACCTCCACTCCTAGACTGCAGAGTCAATCACTCCCCTACTTTTGCTACAAAACATCTACCTTTATATTTCCAAACCTCACAATCAGTCCTGATAACAATTATTCACTATTGTATCACAAGAGACCTATCCACATCTCCTTTTATCAGCCCTGCCCAGACAGATTGGATACTACTCAGTGGAGATTCTACCTTCCTCCATGCCCTCTGGATCTAGGCTCCCTCTTGAAAGTTTGTAAGCCAGCCACTTCTTGCCTTTGTAGCCTCCCCCCAATTTTGGTTAGCGAGTGTCCAAGTTGCCCGTCCCTGTCTACTCTGTGTATGGAGGTAGGTGAGAATGATCCTGTAAAGATTTGTTCCCTCTTTTGAGCTACTGCATCCATAGGTGTAGGTCAAGTTCATCAAATTGTTATCAGATTACTCTTTTTTTCCTCTTCTTTCTTCTTCTAGTTGAGCTCTGATCATCCAGTCACTGAAGCCAGGTCAAGTGGGTATTATCTGTAAGTGTGGGTGTTCTTGTGCATATGCCCTCTCTTTTTATCAGCTGGACACTTCACTCTCAACTCTAGTCCTCTGTGGCTGTGTCACTGACTCTGGGCCCAAGAGTCCCCAGGTCTTGCCACACTGCTGGTCAACCAGGTCTCCATCCTGGTTCACAGGAGTCTACTGAATGTTGTAGGGCTTAGCTCGCAGCTGTTGTGTATCATCTTATTCTGTTTCCTTACACCCTTTCTTTGTCTCTTTATCTCTGTCACATGCAAAATTATACCCCGTTCCTTTTTTTTTTTAGTTAAAATGGGATTGCAGATATGCATCACTTATCATCCATGATACATTCTATGAAGTAGGACGTTATGCATTTTGGATGTTGTATGAAGACTGTAGCATTATATACAAGCAGTCCTCATACAATCCATAATTAAATCCCCAGAAATCCTGTTATATTAAAACCTTATGGGAGCCTTCTCGGCAAAGCCCAGTAGTGGACACTGGAGGCTGGCTTTCCTGATGTGCTGCTGGGTGTGTGGGGACAGCACCAGCAGTAACCACTTTGGACAAGTCACTGCATAGAGTAGAGGGTGGGACAGACTTCAGCCATGGGGACTGAGTGTGCACGTGCTGGGAGTGTGAATCCTATTGATGCAGCACTTCTTGGTCAGGTGCAGCAGCTGATGGCACTACCAGTGGCCGCTGCAGAAGCAAGGGAACCATGGCAGGACACTGCCCTGGGAGCAAAAGGCTGCACAGCTGCTGGTTGGGTGAATGAAGCCAGGAGGGGAAGAAGGAGATGAAGGTGGAGGTGCTGCAGGAATTGGAAGGTGCTCTGGAACCCTGCTGCTGTATTACCCGGAGTTTTAGGGTCTTTAAAACCATTAGGGGAAAAGAGTAAATAAAAGGAGAGGTGTTTCCATTTAAAAACCAAAAACACCTTATAGGATCATGAACATATGAGAGGGCTTCAAAAGTTCATGAGAAATGGAATTTAGAGATAATGGAATTTTTCCATGACTTTTTGAAATTCCCTTGTATATGCAATCAGGTATTATTAAGCTATGTGTACCTGATACTAAGCTATGCACAACTGGGTATTTATACCTATAGTTCTAGAATACGTTTTTTTATTTACTGACTTCTCTCCATGTTGACATATATAGCTCTTAACTATATGCAGTATTCTCTACTATATGTTGATTTTATGCAAGGGTAAGTCAAAACGTATTGCTACAAAAATACTACAGTGTGAAGCTACTGGTTTTCAACAGTATACATTTCTGAAGGGAGTTCCATCTCTCTCTAACCCTTCCCCAAAGAATTCTGCACTCTTCGATTTTGTACCACAACAAAATGGCAATTTGGGCTTTCTCAAGGGACTCATCATGTTCGTTTTAAATGTTCCTAGAGCTTTAGAAACAAAATGTCTCAAAGAGGCAAGATCAGGGCTTCACAGTGGATGGGGTAAGGTTTTCTAACAAAATTCTCATAGGAGAGCCCTTGCTACCTTGGAAAAATAAATAAGTGCATTGTTGTAATAGAACAAAGCTCTGCAACACAACTTTCCTGGCCTTTTTCTCACCAATGCAGTTAGAGGGTTTAAAAAAAAAAAAAAAAACTCTTTCAAATCATCTGGAATCCTTTGAGAAAATCTGTTATGATTACTCCTTTGGAAAACCAGAATACAGTTTCACAACTTTCTTATCACCTGACCTCTCTGCCTCGAATTCAACTGGCCTAGTAGTTCTCAGAAGCCACTGTTTTGGTTGGACCTTTTTTTTAAGACCTAAGAAGACTAAGATCAATTTATTACTGAGAGAATTTTTCTGCATTCTTATGCTGATCACAGAGACATGTTTAAGTATAATTTGTTTCTAATAAACCTGTTAATATATGATAGAGTTTTTCAAGACCAATGACTCCTTCATTGCAAATACCTTTTTTAAACAAAATAAAACAAATAAAATTTAAACAAAGCAAAACTATACACATGGACCTCACCAGATGGAATACACAACGTAGAAATCAAATTGACTACATCTTTGGAAAGAGATGGTAGAAAAGTTCCATATATCATCGGCCAAAACCAGGCCAGAGGCAGACTATGGAACAGGACTTTAATTGCTCAGATGCAAGTTCAGGCTAATGCTGAAGAAAACTAAAACAAGTCCACCAAAGCCAAAATACAACCTTCAGCATATCCTACCTGAATGTAGAGATCATCTCAAGAACAGATTTAATGCATTAGACACTGAAGACTGAAGACCAGAGAGTTATGGGATGATATCAATATTGTCATACAGGAAGAATGCACAAGGTCATTAAGAAGACAAGGAAGAAGAAAAAGACCAAAAATGGATGTCAGAAGACTCTGAAACTTGCTTCCCAACATAGAGATGCTAAAGCAAATAGAAGAATGAAGAGATCATGGAGCCAAATAGAAAATGCCAAAGGGCAGCTTGAGAAGACAGAGTCAAATATTATAACAAAATGTGTACAAGACCTTGAGTTAGAAAACCGAAAGGGAAGAACACACTCAACATTTTTCAGAGGGAACTGAAGAAAAAATTCAAGCCTCAACTTACGATTTTGAAGGATTCTTTTGGCAAAATATTGGATGATGCAAAAAGCATCAAAAAAAGATGGAAAGGATATACAGTATCACTGTACCAAAAAGAAATAGTTGATATTCAGCCATTTCAAGATGTAGCATATAAGCAAGAGTCAGTGGTACTGAGGGAAGAATTCCAAGCTGCACAGAAGGCATTGACAAAGAACAAGGCTCTGGGAATTGATGGAATACAAATTGTAATCTTGATGACAGCTACTTGACCAACTGACTGGACGAGATCCATACTTGTGTCCATTGCAAAGAGAGGTGATCCAATAGAATATGAAAATCATTGGACAGTATCATTAATAGCATATGCAATTAAATTTTTGGTAAAGATAATTTAAAACAGCTGCAACCTTACAATGACAGAGAACTACCAGAGGTTCAAGCCAAATTCAAACGAGGACATGGAACGAGGGATATCATTGCTGACATCAGATGGATCTTGGCTGAAAGCAGAGAATAGCAGAAAGATGTTTACCTGTGCTTTACTGATGACACAAAGGTTTACAACTGTGTGGATCACAAGCTATTAACAACATTGTGGAGAATGAATACTCTGGAACATTTGTGCTCATAAAGAACCTGTACATAGACCAAGAAGCAGTCGTTTGAAGAGAACAAAGGAACACTGACTTTAGACTTTGGAAAGGTGTATGCCATGGTTGTATTCTTTCACCATACTTACTGAATCTGTATGCTGAGCACATAATCTAAGAATCTGGATTAAGAAGAACGTGGCATCAGGATTAGAGGAAGACTCATTAACAACCTGAGATATACAGATGATATAACCCTGCTAGTTGAAAGCGAAGAGGACTTAAAATATTTACAGATGAAGATCAAAGACCTCATCAGCTTTTAGTATCAATTACACTGGAATGTAAAGAAAACAAAAAAACCTCACTATTGGACAACATCAAGATATAACTGGAGAAAAGATTGAAGTTGTCAAAGGCTTAATTTTTCTCGGATTAACCATCTACACACATGGAAGCAGCAGTCAGGAAATCAAACGACGTATTGCATTAGGCAAATCTGTTGCACAAGACCTGTTTAAAGTGTTTAAGAGGAAAGATATCAGTTTGAGAACTAAGGCATGCCTGACCCAAGCCATGGTATTTCAGTAGTCTCATATGATTGTGAAAGTTCAACAATGAATAAAGAAGACTGTAGAAGAATTGTTGCATTTGAGTTGTTGTGTTGGAGGAGGATATTAAAAGTACCATGGAGTTCCAAAAGAACAAACAAATGGGTATTAGAAGAAGTCCAGCCAGAATGCTCCTTGGAAGCCAGGATGGCCAGACTTCATCTCATACTTCTGACATGCTATCAGGAGGGAACAGCTCCTGGAGAAGGACATCATGCTTGGCAAGGTGTGGGTCACAGAAAAAGAGGAAGACCCCCCCAATGAGGTAGATGTGTGTAGTGGCCGCAGCAATGGCCTCAAGTATAGCAGTGATTATGAGGTTGGTGCAGGACCTGGCAGTGTTTCATTCCATTGTGCAAAAGGTCACTATGAGTCAGTACTAACTAGATGACATCTAAGAACAGCAATATTCTCTTTTAAACAGTAGTGTCTTTTCAATTGCATTTTGCAGCAACTGCCAGTTTTTATCCTACCCTATAAATTTTCTTCCAGTCAGCTTTTATCCTAAATCTTTCTTTTGATTTGGGCATTGATCATTTAAGGAGCTCTGTTAGCATATTGGGTTACGAGTCAGGCTGCTAACTACACTGTCAGCAGTTGGAAACTACCAGCCACTCCATGGGAGGTTGTTAACTGCTGTTGAGTTGGTTCTGACCCACAGCAATCCTGTATCGGGTTTCCAAGGAGCAGCTGGTAGCTTGAACTGCCGACCTTGCTGTTAGGTAATTTTGCAGTCCAGCATATTAACCCACTTTGCAATCCAGTGTATTAACTCACAGCACCACACCAGAAATCCGTGAGAGACAGTTAAGGCTTTTTGGAAACTATACAGAGTCGCTGAGTCTGAACCAACTCCATGGCACACTGCCACCACCACCACTATTCTCCATTTAGCTCACTGAAATTTTAAACTTTTTATTATTTTTCCAAATCTTTTTCTTCAAAGAATAATTGTTTAAATTATAGATAAATATAAGTATTTCTTTAAAATGTATCCCATGCATGGCATTCTACTCTTTCATAGTAAATGAACTGTCGACTCTCATGGAGGATGGACGTGCTCAAGTTCTTTTAGCAAAAGTTTATAGCAAAATGGAAAGACCTGCTGATGCAGTCACCTCATTGCAACAGGTAAATGCATTTGTTTGAATGTGCTTGCCAAGCAGGAGAGGGGACAGAAGGAATATGCCACTTGTAGAGTTTTGTTGTTATTTGTTTGTTTTTGGTCTTGTATAATTTGATACTATGAAATGTATGTTAAAGTATTTCAGCGTGATTGTAGACTTGTCTTTCTCTTTTTAGTCATTTGTAATTTTATTTATTTACAAGCTATGTTACTGGATCTACTCAGATTTAGAATTGTGCTATTGTACTGATGAATACTCCAGGCCTTTCCTATCCATTTCTGGTAATCGCTTCTCTCTGGAGAATGGGACTAATGACCTCTGTGGCTCAGGGATTGAATGAGCCAAGCGCTCACCAAGTACTCGACACAGCATGTTTTGTTTGGTTCTCACTCTTGTCATGAAAGCTGTTCAGTAGATCTAATGAGTCTTAAAATATAACTCAATGCCCACATATTACTTTGGTGATATGAGAATGCTGAGTCTTTGTCCCAACAAAGCCCTTGAAGCTGAAAGCCAGGTGTCTGTAAAGGAGCAAAGCAGATCTGCAGGGTAATTAAATAACGTGGGGGAAGGGGGAGGAATGGATTCCTGGGGCTGTCCTCTGAGAGGAACACAGTGAGGAGCTGGTCGATCTGCACTTGAGGACTAGCTTCTCCAAGAGAGCTTATTTGTACTTCTGAGGTATCTGTACCTGGACCAAGAAGCAGTTGTTCGAACAGAGCATGGGAACACTGAATGTTTTTAAATTGGGAAAGGTGTGTGACAGGATTGTGTTCTTTCACCATACTTATTCAACCTGTATACTGAGCAAATAATACGAGAAGCTGGGTTCTATGAAGAAAAACGTGGCGTCAGGATTGGAGGAAGACTCATAACAACCTGAGATATGCAGATGATACAACCTTGCTTGCAGAAAGTGAAGAGGACTTGAAACATTTACTTATGAAGATCAAAGAGCACAGCCTTCGGTGTGGGTTGCAGCTCAATGTCAGGAAAACAAAAATCCTCACCACTGGACCAATAAACAACATTCTTATCAACGGAGAAAAGATTGTAGTTGTCAAGGACTTCATTCTTCTTGGATCAACTATCAACACTCATGGAAGCAGCAGTCAAGAGATCAGACGACATATTGCATTGGGCAAATCTGCTGCACAGGAACTTTTTAAAGTGTTGAAGAGCAGAGATGTCAGTTTGAGGACTAAGGTGCGCCTGACCCAGGCCATGGTATTTTCAATAAGCTCATATGGATGCGAAAGCTTGATAGTGAATAAGGAAGATCGTAGAAGAATTGATGCCTTTGAGTTGTGTTGGAAGAGAATACTAAAAGTGCCGTGGACTGCCAAAAGAACCAATAGATCTGTTTTGGAAGAAGTGCAGCCAGAGTGCTCCTTGGAGGCAAGGATGGCTAAGCTTTGTCTCTCATACTTTGGACATATTGTCAGGAGGGAACAGTCTCTAGAGAAGGATGTCATGCTGGGTAAGATGGAGGGTCAGAGAAAAAGAGGATGACCCCAACCAATGGCATCATTGATGGTGTCAAGTGTCGCAGCAGTAGTGTGGTTGGCCCAGGATCGGACATTGTTTCGTTCTGCTGTGCATGGGGTCGCTATGAGTCACTTCCGACTCAATGGCACCTGACAACAACAACAACAACTGATGAATAACTGCTTTATAATTATAAAATGATTTTTATTTTTAGTAATGCTTCTTTCTCTGATATTAGTAAAGCTACTCATAGGGTTTCCTCTTGGTCATTAGAACAGACACACAAACATATATGTACGTATATTGTGGTGGTGGTTATGTGCTGTGGAATCGGTTCTGACTCTTAGTGACCCTGTAAAGGGTTTCCAAGGCTGTAAATCTTTACGGGAGGAGAAAGCCTCATCTTTATCCTGCAGAACAGCTGCTAGTTTCGAACTGCTGACCTTGCAGTTCGCAGCTCGATTCGTAACCACTACGCTACCACAGCTCCATGTATATTGTACTACAGTACATATATATTATCCTTTTGCTTTTAGCCTTTCCATGTTTTTATATTGAAGATTTTTCTTATATTGCTGTTGTTAAGTGCCACTGAGTCAATTCCAACTCATAGCCACCCTGTATTGGGTTTCTGAGAAGTGACTGGTAGGTTTGAAGTGTTGTGACCTTATAGATTGCTGTCCAGTGCTGATCCTACAGCACCACACCAGGAGTCTATATTAGCAGTATATAATTTTTTTAAAATGCTATTCTGATGAGCTGAATGATTTTATTAGAATACTTGTTATTTATATTTGGGGTATTATCTGCTATTTTATAATTTGTTTTAAAATTTCCTGTTTTTTTGCTAAGTTATTTTCTTAGTTCTTTCCCCAGAGTGAAACAACTAATTTAAACAGCCTGATTAATTTTATTGAGTTGGTTTTTTTTTGTTGTTGTTGTTGTTAGGGGATTTCCCAGAAAGATTATTACTAGGCATCATCAAGTCAATTCTGATTCATAGTGACCCCATGAGAGACAATAGAATTTCCCCAGAGAGTTTTCTAGCTATAATCTTTACAAATCACCCCATCTTTTTCCCACAGAACCTCTAGGCTGGTTCAAACTGCCAGTCTCTTGGTTAGCAGTTAAGCTAAATGTTTTTGTCACCAGGGCTCCATCTAGAAGATTAGACTAATTTATATGCCATCAATGATGTATGAATGTACTAATTCCCTGAAACTGACCAATACTAGATTGAATAGTTTCAAATATTCAATATTTAAAATAGTTGTTAATATAATAAATCTTTTAAGTTTTAAAAATTTCTACATCTAAACATCTTTTCCAAACATTTGATTCATAGTTCCAATTCTCCTGTAGTGAGCTTCCTGTGTATTTTCTTGTGACTATGGACAAAGACTAATTTTACAGTACTTCAGTGCTGGTGGTACAGTGGTCACATGTTTGACTGCTAACTGAAAAGTTGGCATTTCAAACCCACCAATTGTTCCACAGGGTTAAAACATGACAGTCTGCTTCTATAAAGATTACCACCTTGGAAACCTTATGTAGAAGCTCTTCTTTGTCCTATAGGGTCACTCCTATGAGTTGGAACTGACTCAGTGACAATATGTTTTTCAGTTGGAAAGGTCTGTGCATGCTGGCTCATTGAAAACAAATTAATGCTTGGGGTCAAGAAGACATTTTCTTTCGATCAAGTTTTGTTAGAACAAGGGCCAATAATATTTAAGTAAATCTTAAGTAAAGCAGTACCATGTATGAATTAATGAGATTTATTTAACCTCTATTATTTTTTTCTCACTTTTTTTTTAATCTTTGTTTTTTTCTAGGCTCGAGAATTACAGGCGCGAGTGCTGAAACGTGTTCAGATGGAACAGCCAGATGCAGTCCCTGCACAGAAACATTTAGCAGCTGAAATTTGTGCAGAGATTGCAAAACATTCTGTTGCTCAGCAAGACTATGAAAATGCAATTAAGTTTTATAAAGAAGCTCTTGTTCATTGTGACACTGATAATAAGGTCAGTAACTTTATAAAGTTGTAAACATCTTTATCCCAAATGTCATCACATTTCCCCAAATGCAAAATTCCTGTTAGCTTATTTTATAAAGATTTGAAAAGAAATTAATAAAAATATAAGTTAAAAAATTAAGATTGTTTCCAGAAAACCTTTAAAGTACTTGTATGAGTCCTTGATTTAAGAATGCTACAGATTGCTACAATTTTATGAACTTGACCTATACTTATGGATGTAGTAGCTCAAAATACCAACCAAGAGGGAAGGAGTCTTTTCATAAAGTATCAATCCTAAACCCTCTGTATACAGGGTAGATACGAACAGGCAACTTAAGACATTGGCTGACTAAAGTGATGGGGCGATAAAGGCATGAAGTGACTGGCTTACAAGTTTTCAAGACGGAGTTTAGTTTAAGAGTGTGAGGGGGAAGAAAGAGTCCCCACTGAATAGTTTTCATCTCGTCTAGATGGGTCTGGTGAAAAGAGGAGGGGATAAGATTCTTATGATTCAATAGTGAAAGATTTTTATTATGACTAATTGCAACTGTCATAGCTATAAAGGTAAAAGTTTTATAACCAAAATGGGGGAGTAGATAGTCTTACAGTATAGAAACAGAGGACCCTGGGACCATCGAGAAAAGAATACAAGCAGAGTGTGGGAAACTATCCACAGTAGCAGTGACACCAGAGTTGGAAGCAGAGATGAGGACATGGAGAGAGGGAGAAGCTGAGGACTCTGGACTAATGGAAAGCGAGGGACTGGGTGCTGGCGGCCAGGAGGCAGGCTTGCAGAATGTACCTTTTGGTTGTTTAAATTATTATATATTCTTGAGTGTTTCTGTATACATCCTCCTTACCTTCCAAAAACAGAAAACAAAACAAAACAGGGAATGGAAGCAAATACTGTCGAATGATGATGCATGGAGGAGATTGTAATCATTGCAATGAAACGATGGTGTAAAGCTGATGTTCTCCCATGTAAACATGTGAACTCAGTTCACAATCAAAACTTAAAAAAATAAATAGAATGCTACGGAACACCAAGGGAAGTTGGCCATGCCAGAAAAAAAAAATTATTGTGCAAAAAAACATTCTAAAGTAAATTTGAATGCTCTTTGTTTTTAATATTCATTGTGTTTTAATAATCATTTAAATACATTACATGTATTAAATCCATAAACATTTAATACCTTAATCCTACCTTAATCAATATATGGATCTAGATGATATGTCGGGGACCCGCCTCGACATTGGGGTTCAGTTCACGAGGAGAGGATACCTGACGGCGATTCATATATATCCAGAATACACAAAAGGAGACAAAGGAGACAAAGAGAGAGACAAAGAGACACTCCGAAACCAGAGTGAATGCTGGACTGGCATCAGGCAGATCCTGCATTGCAAACATCTCAGCCACAAAGGCCGTAATATCCTGCATAGTGAACATGTTAGCTAAACAGGCAGTATGGTTGCAAGGCTGGACTGTGCACCCTGCATGCTGAAGCGCATGCCTTGCCAGTCGTAATGCACACCTGGGGAGGCCCGGGCCTCTGCTTTATTCAGGGGAGGAGCTTCACACCAAGCTGGGAGGGACTTAGGCAAGGTACAGCTAACATCAGTACTTTTCCAGACATTCAGGTAACTTTACATAGTACTTCACTGGTTTGAATCCCAGGCCAGCAACTTGGATTCTCAGGCCCAATTAACATATCTATAGCCCCTGAACTAAGGTGGGGGAAGGTGAGAGATAAAGACAAAAGCTTGGGCGGAGTCCTGCTGCTTTGGCTTCCTGAGCCAGGTCTTCAGGAGGACTCCAGGTGAATGGGCTGCACCTGGAAAAGGATTAGGGAGGATGGGTTCTTTGTCTATGGAACAAAGAACTGTGAAGTAGCTAAGACATTTTTAGTTAATCCTTTGGAGAAATGCTTAACCTTACAACCTTTAGTCTCGGCTTTAGGAAAATATCACATTTATCTGTGGATTGTCAAAGGCTCCAGTGTATTAATTTAATATATATACCTGAATATTAATATGAAAGCAATTTGCCATTAACTGCCAGTGGCCTCATTTGTTACACTCGGCCCTAGCGGGCCTCGAACCTCTGATTAGTCTTAAACGGTCTGCAACAATGATACACCTGTGTATTTTAATTACTGAGGATTCAAAAGTGACTAGACTGAATCTGACTGTAATTGGCACAGTATGAGACTGGATTAAGGACTACATTGGTACAGAAAAGTTCCTCATGCATGTTGTTGTTGTTAATTGCCATCAAGTCTGTGCTTACTCATTACTCTGTATGGGTTTCCAAGGCTGTGAATCTCTCTGGAAATAAGAAGCCTCATCTTTCTCCTGCAGAACAGCTGGTGAGCTCAGACTACCTACTTTGTAGTTCACAGTCCAGTACTTAGTTTAGAGAGCCACCATGGTCATGCATAGGCTGGTTAAATAAATGAAAATGCCATTACTCTTTCATATCTTAATATATGATTAATTTTTTTAATATTCTAATACTTGTATACTTAAAGTTTGAGATAGACTATTTTTTAATCGATGTAACTCTTTTAGATATAGGGTAAAAATAATCCATACCATGACATGACTAAATAGATACCTTTTTCAGTGGTAATCAAAAGAGTTAGAATCCTAACTTTAAGTCTGAAGCATTCATTACATATTATCTGCTTCACACATTTTACTTTAGAAACTAGAAAACCTGGTTCAGAGAAGTGAAAGTGACTTCTCCTCATCCTCAAGAAGCTGGGACTAGGATCTGATTCTAAGACCAGTGTTCTTTTAATAATGTCTCATATCTGGATTTCAAGCCAGTTACTATCTATTTTTCCCTTTCCTTCCCCCCCCACCCCCAGCATGATAGAAAATAGAGTTGTGCATGCTTTGGTTTCCTGCTATTTTGCTTTAACTCAGTAACTTTTAGTTGTTGTTGTTAAGTGCCGTCAAGCTGGTTCTGACCCATAGCAACCCTGTATAGACTTTCCAGGGAGTAGCTGGTAAATTTGAGCTGCTGACCTAGCAGTTCAGACGGCTTTTAGGTACCTATTATTTAATCAGTCTAGACATTTTCCTCATTTCACTTTTTATTTCAAACAGTTTCTGTATGATCTTGCCTTTTCTCTGTAGATAATGTTGGAACTGGCACGGTTATACCTGGCACAGGATGACCCTGATACCTGCCTGAGGCACTGTGCTCTGCTTCTCCAGAGTGACCAGGACAATGAAGCTGCTCCCATGGTTAGTGCAAGAGATTTCGGGCTACAGCTGTCACTGTGCTTTCTATTCTACCTAGACGTTTCATATTTTACATGATGGACAGACATGAAATCATTGGTGGCTTGTAGATTATGACCATGTTTCTAGGGTACATTATTTGTCTCTTTTACCAGTAAAAACCAAGAATCTTTTAACACTTTATATATAAGAATAAACCAGATTTAGTCCAGGTCTTTACTTGCCCTTTAAAAAAATTAAGTCCATTGCCTTGAGGTGATTCTAACTCTTAGCAACCCTATGCAAGGTTTCAGAGATGTAAATCTTTACAGCAGCAGACAGCCTTATCTTTCTAGTGCAGCTGGTGGGTTTAAACTGCTGACCTTGTGGTTAGCAGTCCAGTGTTTAATTCACAGCCTCCAGGGCTCCTTCTTGCCCTTTTGGTTCTTATTAAATTTTCATTATGCCTGTGGGGTTCACCTGGCAGAGCTATAATGTGATGAAGATCGACTTGTTAGTATTTAAACCTTTTGGACCTTTTCAAGAGTTTTAGTGGAACTTTTAGATAAAAATTTCCTATACCATTCTAAGATAGTGTGCTTTAAATAAATTGAGTTCTCTTTTTTACTTGAGTTGAGAGGTATTTGTTACTTTTTAAACAGGTATGGGTAACATTTTCTAAGTTTCATTCAAAGTTATTATAATTCAAAAAAGAAATAAGTATCTTTTTAAAAATACATACATGAAAAATTCTCAGTCTTGCTCATGCTAAATTCATTTGCAGTGTTTAGAATTAAAAGGTTTTTATTTGTTTTTAATCTTGTCATTGTAAATCTTGGCCAAGTCCAGTGAGTCATCTTTTTTGATAGCACTTTAGAGTGTACATTTCACTCCAAATTCTTATTTTAAAAGTAACCATTTAAATCATATTTTTTCCTAAAAATACAATTTGGCAAATATCATGATCTGTTTCACATCTTTATCTTGGTTACACCAATCTCAGGTGTAACAAACCTCAAGGTATGTTTCAATACTAATAAAACTTTGTCTTGCTGCATGTTTTTCATTTGTATGAGGGGGCTTCGAAAAGTTTGTGGGAAAATGGAGTTGAAAGATAATGGAAGTTTTCCACAGACTTTTTGAAGCCACGTTTTCATAGTGCTAAGTCCTGATAGGAAGATAAGCTTATAAAGATACATGGCAATATGTTTGAAACCCACTCTTGCCTTCATAGATGATGGCTGATCTCCTGTTCAGAAAACAGGACTATGAACAAGCAGTGTTTCATTTGCAGCAGCTTTTAGAACGCAAGCCAGGTAAGTATTGACCACTGCCACTGTGTCAGTCTAACTTCTTGGAGGTTTTCCTCTTTTTTTTTTTTTTTTTTTGCTGTTATACTTCTTGGGAAAACCCCAATCCTAGTTGGATTGAACATTTCATTTACTGGACCCCTGTGCTTGAGCAGCTGAAGAGCTATAAGGAAGATGCCACTTTTGACTGATTTCCTTAGAAAATTAGGATCACAAACCACCAGGGGCCCCCCAGGGACGCCTGGCCATCCTAATCTCTCTAATGAATTCCCTAACTCCTAACTACTTTTTGCACTTTCTTTCTCCCCTCTCCTCAACTTCCAACATCCTTTCTCCTTCCTTGCTCTCAGCTAATAATCTGTCTTTTTCCTTCATTGACAAAATAAGAGCAACTGGCTCTGCATTTTCCCATCACCAAATCTGTCCACTGCCCAGTGAAGGTCTGCAATCCCATCTGCAGCCAGCTTTTCCCCATGTGCACCGGATTCCACCCATTTACCTGCTGAAGGGCTTTGGTCTTCTAGTTATTCTTTTCCTCCTGCATAATTCTTTTTCTTAATTATCAAACAAAAATACTAAATTCTCCTCACTTTAAGTAAATCAACCATCCAGAACCATCTCATAACTCTTCATTACCCTCAAGTTACTGCTCTAGTCCTCTGTTCTCCTTGCGACAGATTTCCTCTAAGAATTGCAGTGAGTACGACCTTTGCTTCATCTCCTCGATTCCAAGCAGGCTCTACCCTGCACCCTAGGGAAGCTGTTTCTGCAGTGTAACCAATGACCTCCATGTGCCAGACACAGTGTTTGATATCCAGTCTGCTTCCTGGACTTGTATCATTCTTCGACACAGCTTTCCATCATGAAAGATTTTCTTCATTTGTCTTCTGGGCTAGTAGACTCACCTAATTTTTCTTGTCCCTCTTTGTCTACTTGATTTCAATCTCCTGCTAGAACTATGTGTTATGACATTAAAAACTGGAACTGTTATAGACCTCATTTCTTCTTCTTTTCTTTTTATGCATTCACCCCTTAGGTGACTTCACCCAGGCTTTATAACCCATGTATATTCTGATGTCAGCTAGCGTAGATCTCCAGTTTGGATTCATATACAACACTACCTAATTGTATTTCCATTCACATATCCAAATACAGTGCTTGATCTTTTATTCCCTTTACATCCACTCCTACCTTTGTCTCATCTCAGACCATGGCACCGTCATTCACTCAAGTCCCAAACCTTACAGTTACCTTTGCTTTGTCTTTCTTTCACACACCACATTCTACCATCAGCAAATTTCTGTTAGTTCTACCTACAAATATATCTGGAATTCCATCACTTTCTACCCCTTACTAAGCCATCATCACCTTTCACCTACTGCTTATAGTATTCTCACAATTTCTCTCTGCTTCTGTTTCTTGCCTGAAAATCATTTGAAAATGCTTTCAGCTAGAAGTAGCAGAAACCTCTCAAGTCTTAGTGTCTTAAAACATTAGGACTGTCATTCTTCTATTGAAGGACACAAAGCTAAAGGTAGACTGTGTTGGAATGATGACGGACATTTCACAGTATCATCAGGAGTCATTAGCCGAACTTTCAACTCCTGGTTGAAGACAACCACTGCTGCTTTATCCTTTGTCACTCTGGAGCCTAGATGGGAAAGATAGGATGGAGTGGAGCAAAAGGGCATACCTCCCAGATAAATCATCTCTTTTTCTTTAAAAAAAAACAAAAACAAAACTCTATAGAAGCGCTTAAATGGATGCAAAAGAGGGTGGCAAATGCTCTCTTCTGATTGAAAGAATAAAATAAAAAGACAGTTCTGATAATAAGACATTAGGTAGGTAACAGCCCAAGGAGGTTACTGCTGCTTTAAAACTTGAGTTTACTGTTCTCTCTTTCAGGAATATGCCAAGACTTTTAAACATTTGTTAAAAAAAAAAAAAGTTCTGGAAAAATTGAATGAAAAGAACATGGAATTTTTTCCAGGAACTTTTTGAAGTCCCCTTGTATATAAAACCCTTGTTTGGGTGGGGGGAGACTATAAATAATAGAACATAAGCATCAAGTGGCCAGAACTATGTCTTCACCACTATTTCCTGCACTTGGAACACTGTTGGACCAAATTGGATAGAATGAAAAGTAGGAGGAGAAAAGGAAGGAAGGGGCAAAGAAGAGAGATGAAGAGACGAAAGCTTTTCAAATTACTGAAGATTATAACTGTGAACTGTCTTGGGCCACTTTATTGTGTTTTTGCCTCTTTGGTTCCAGCTTATACAAAGATGTTAAATGTGCACTGTCAATTCGTTTATCATTATATATCTTCTACTCCTTTTACCTCTTCTATGCAAAGTCCAGACACCATCTTTCCACCGTACTTTGCCCAAACTCACTCATCTTTTTATTTTTTAAATAACTTTTTACTGAGTTTTATGTGTGTGTGTGTCAGGGTTTATACAGCAAGTTAGGTCTACACTTGACAATTTCTACACAAATGGTTTTGTAACATTACTTAATTTTATCATAATGTGTCAATATTCTCTAATTGCTTTGGACTAATTGTTGCCCTTTTGGTCTCATACTAATGGTTTGTGAGTAGGGCACAGATCTTACAGGCATTGTCCTTTATTTGGTGTTGTCACTCTGCTATTTTGCAAAAAGGTGACCTTATTTGTTGTTGTTAAGTGCTGTCGAGTCGATTCCGACCCATACGGGAGCAGAAAGCCTCATGTTTCTCCCGCGGAGCAGCTGGTAGTTTGGAACTGCTGACCTTGTGGTTTGCAGCCCGATTCGTAACCACTATGCTACCAGAGGTCACCTTATAGTACAGGCTAAGCTCTAGGTTTGAAGAGCATCTCAGGGCAGTAGTATTAGGGTGTTCTCTGTTTTGTATCTTCTAGTTTGTCTGGCTTTTATTTTTAATAGGAATTTTTCTCCACATTTTTCCTCATTATATTCAGAACCATCTATTATAACTCCAGTCAGAACAATCAGTTGATGGTGGCCAAACACCATCTAGTTCTTATGACCTCAGGGTAGATGAGGTTGTGGCTTATATAGACTTGTTTCTTCTGTGAGTTCCTAACCTACTCTTAAAAACTTAAGGCCTATGTCATTTTTCTTAGGCATTTCTACTGTAAGTTCCAAATTGTTCTTTTACCCCTCTTTGAATTGCTATTTAAAGTTTTGGCCAAAAATTTTGATCTTCAGTTCCTGCCTAATTCAATGTAATTTTTAGATTCTGTGACTTTATTTGAAAGCAGTCATCCTGTGTCATAGAAAAACAGTTGGGGGCTTGTAAATATTACGTATGATATTTGTAGTTAATCAAGCTCTTCAATGACTGGATTTTATTAGATTTCCATAGTATTCTGCATGTAAGTATTATAATCTTATTTTAAGTAAATAGTAATCCTAGATGCAGAGAATTTGGATAATTTGCTTAAATTCATAGGTTAAAGAGCAAGACCAGTATTTGAGCCCTATTATCTGAAACCTTGTTTTTTATCATGTTTTACTTTTTAAGTAATGCCAAAAGATCAATACAGCAAAATATTGAGACCCAAGATTATTTGGCAGGGAGGAAAATAATAATGATATTGTTTTTCTAGATAATTTGGATAGCATGTAATAGAGTCAGCACAAAGCCTCCAAAGGCACTTAAATCTCTCTCACTTTTTTAAATGTTTTATTGTGAATTATGTGATAGTTTACATGGGAGAACATTAGCTTTACATTCATCCTATCATATATCGTTTCATTGTCATGGTTACAATCCCCACCATGCATCATCAACCAACCAAAGGGTATACCCTGTAAGCCTGCTTCCTGGTGGTCAACACACAGTCCCTCTCCCTCTCTGTGTCTAAAGTCCCCAGCTGCTCCATCTGTCCACGTCATTGCCTCTGCCTCCATCTCTGATGTCACTGCTTCTCTGGGTACAGTCCCACTCTCTGCTCTTCTCCCTTGATGGCTCCAGGGACCTCCGCTCGTAGACTCCAAAGTTAATCACTCCCCTCCTTGCTATAAAACGTCTACCTTTACATTTCTAATCCTCACAATCAGTCCTGATAACAATTATTCACTGTTGTATCACAAGAGATCTATCCCCACCCATCTCCTTCCGTCAGCCCCACTCAGACAGACTGGATACTACTCAGTGGAAATTTTACCTTCCTCCACGCCCTCTGGATCTAGATTCCTTCTTGAAAGCTTGTAAGCTAGTCACTTCTTGTCTTTGAAGCCCCCCAATTTTGGGTAGCCGATGTCCAAGTTGCCCATCCCTGTCTACTCTGTGTATGGAGGGGGTGGGAGTGATCCTCGCTGTAAAGATTTGTTCCCTCTTTTGAGCTACTGCATCCATAGGTGTAGGTCAAGTTCATCAAATTGTATCAGATTACTCTTTTTTTTTTTTTTTTCTTCTTTCTTTCTTCTTTCTTCTTCTAGTTGAGCTCTGATCATCCAGTCATTGAAGCCAGGTCAAGTGGGTATTATCTGCAAGTGTGGGTGTTCTTGTTCATATGCTGTCTCTTATTACCAGCTGGTTCTTCACTCTTGGCTCTAGTCCTCTGTGGCAATGTTGCTGACTCTTGGCCCAAGAGTCCCCAGGTCTTGCCACACTGCTGGCCAACCAGGTCTCCACCCGGGTTCACAGGAGTCTATTGAACGTTGTAGGGCTTAGCTTGCAGCTTCATTGCTGTTTTTCCCTCACTTTCCCATATTGGTGACCAATGTGGTCACTAATCAGAGCATATATTCCTGTTGAGTCTTAGTCTTGGAAGGGGGTTTGCTCTGAGAGGACCTGATCACTTGCCTTGATGTCTCCTGGGCGAGCAACTTGCTTGTTCTTGTAGTAATCAGCTGGTCTGCCGTTATTATTTTATATTTTTTTTTTGTCTGTCTTTCTTTCAAGAAGTATCTTCTGTTCTTCTGTCTGCTCCAGGCTGGTCTGCTTGTCCTTTCAAGTGGAAATTTCCCACCTCTGAAGGTTCTGGATGCTGTTCAGGGTTCCACCTATGGTCTTATGTAATGCAGAGGCTCCACAGGATGCCTCCTTCACTGGGCATGTTGTAGCCCCATTTTAGGTATTCCAATTAGTTATAGACAGAAGTTGGACTTATTAAATCTCTTCTGATATATTTTATTTCCTCTGGAGTGCTCCACCACTCGTCTGTCAGTTTATTATACTGTGGTGGCTTACATGTTGCTGTGATGTTTGAAGCTATGCCATCAGTATTTTAAATATAACCAGCAGGGTGACCCATAGTGGACAGGCTTCAGCTGAGCTTCCAGATTAAGACAGACTAGGAATAAGAAGAGGTAGACTACTTCTGACTGGTTAGCCACTGAAACCCTTATGAATAGCAGCAGAACATTGTCAGATAGAGTGCAGACAAATGAAATCATAAATAGCACCAGGATATTGTTAGATATAGTACTGAGAAATGAAATCCTAAATGGCACTAGGATATTGTTAGATAGAGTGCTGGAAGAAGAGCCCCTCAGGTTTGAAGGTATTCAAAATACAACTGGAGAAGAGCTGCCTCCTCAAAGTAGAGTTGATATGATGACACAAATAGAATAAGCTTTCAGAACCTTCATTTGCTAATGGGGCACAACTCAAAATGAGGCAAAACAGATGCAAACATCTATTAAAAATCAGAACATGGATAGTACAAAGTATGAAACTAAGAAAATTCAAAGTGGTCAAAAATGAAGTGGAACGTATAAAGATATCCTGGGAAGTAGTAAGCTGAAATGGACCGGTATTGACTATTTTGAGTCTGGCAATCATATGATTTACTATGCTGGAAATGACAGATTGAAGAGGAATGGCATTTCAAGAGCTGTCTTGAACATTTCAAGAGCTATCTTGAAGTACAATGCTGTCTGTGATAGGATAATACACATGATACCTACAAGGAAGACCAATTAATAACACTGTTATTCAAATTTACACACAAACCACTTAAGCCAGTGATAATAAAATTGAAGAATTCTACCAGCTTGTAGTGCAGTGCTGTAGGATAAGCACTGAACTGCTAATCACAAGGTCAGTGGTTTAAACACACCATCCGGTCCTTGGAAACCCTCTGCAGGGTCAGTAGGAATCAGAACCACCTTGATGGTACGTAACAACAACAACCAACTTATTCAGTGTGAAATTTATCAAAATACAATCAGGATGTATTCATAATTCCTGGAGATTGAAATGTGAAAGTTGGAAACAAAGATAAAGCATCAGTAGTTGGAAAATATGGCCCTAGTGGTAGAAATGGGACTGGAAATCTCATAATAAAATTTTGCAAGACCAGTGATTTCTTCATTTAAGTACCTTTTTCAAACAACATAAAAGATGATATATACTTGGAGCTCGGCAGGTAGAACACACAGAAATCAGAAGCCTGCTAGGTTATCACTGTTAACTCTCATCAGAATTCCAGACATTTTAAATTCAACGTATATCTCCTCTCAGAAAATAGAATGGAGGATGAATTGCTTTCCAAAAGTATGTGCATGGGTGTGTTTCTCTTAAGAATTCACTCTAAGAGAGCTTATATAAGGATTTTTAACTGTCTGTGAGTTCTGTACTAGCTGAAAGTTGAGAGCTTAAGCACCCAGTATTATAAGACTACTTTAAATATTAATAATAACCAAAATGTCTTGTTATAGAGAAATCAATAAAATGTTTATCATCAATATAATGGATTATTACAAAGCTGCTAAGATCAAGTTTTGGAAGACCATTTAATGATATTTGTAAATGTTTATAATGTTAGATGAACCATAACACCCCAAGTACAACACCTATTTGTATGTAAATATATTTCTTTGCTTACACTGAAATATGTATATACTGATACACATTTATAAATATAAACTATAAAAATGTGCTTATCTCTGGCTCAGGAATATAAGTGATCTTTTTTGTGTTCTTGTTCACACATTCATGAATTTTTCAACAATGTTTACATTGTTACATGCATTATTTGTACAATCATAAAAAAGATGTATTGAATTATTCTAAAAAAATTAGTACATTATAAGCAATGAGCGAGAACTCAGTAGTGCTGGGAGGAAAAAAATAACGTTTCATAAATCTGCTAAGAAATTATATCTAAGACCAAAGACCTGATATATTTTTCTTTATATGAAGTTAAAATACTGGAACTGATATATTAGGGTTATGATTTGATGAGCTAATGTCTGTTGTGCTAGATATGTACACATATTAAAGAAAGCCTGGAGTAAAATTTCTAGTTGCCTATGACAAATATTGTCAAAATTGTCTGTTCCCAAGCCCTCCCTGGCTGTAGTAATGGGAAAGGGATCTCGTTGTGCGTCCACTTCTGAATTTTACAGTTGGAACCGAGAATACCTAGGCAGAGACTGTGTCTAGATTGTGGTCCCAGAAATATTTAAAAAGGAGTTACAGCAAAGACATATTTTTATAGATTAGCCTATTTAGTCCTTCTTCACTATGACCAGCCCAACTCAACCTGTGTCATTAAACAAATCATCCAGTTGAAGGTACAGTTTCTTTGGGGATTTTTAGTTCCATAAGGCATTTCTTTGCTTAGTTTTAGTTTCATTTCGTTTGAAGTAAATTAACACTTTAATGAATTAAGATGATTCTAGAATGTCCACGTCTAAAATACTCTTTGTTTCTAGATAACTACATGACGTTATCTCGTTTAATTGATCTCTTAAGAAGATGCGGAAAACTGGAAGATGTTCCAAGATTTTTCTTAATGGCTGAGAAACATAACCCTTCAACAAAATCTGAGCCTGGATTTCACTACTGTAAAGGCCTGCATCTTTGGTAAATATATTGGCAAGTAAATTGTACACAATGATGTTTCTTTCTCTCATTATGGATAAAGTAGAATGGAATCATTTGTGTTCAGAAACATCTACTCACCGCCATCGAGTCAATTCTGACTCATAGCCACCCTAGATAGGCTTTCTGTAGCTGTAAATCTTTATAGGAACAGAAAGCCTCATCTTTTATCTTTCTCCTGAGGAGTGGCTGGTGGGCTTGAACTGCCAACCCTGTGTATGGCAGTCCATTGCTTATCCTATAGTGCCACCAGGGACCCTTTACAAAAAAAAACATAATCTATAGGGTAAATAAAACTATTAACATATTTTAAATGTAGATTTTTAAAAAATGTAGATGCAAAAATATCTACATGTTAACAGTTTTATTTGCTCTTATAGAATATAAGGTACTTGACGTTTATAGTAATGATTGTCTAATTATTTTAAGTGATTTGTTTACTTTAACTTCTAACTAGGTATACTGGAGAACCAAATGATGCCCTTCGGCATTTTAATAAAGCTCGGAAAGATAGTGACTGGGGCCAAAATGCCCTTTACAACATGATAGAAATCTGTTTGAATCCAGATAATGAGACTATTGGAGGGGAAGTGTTTGAAAATCTGGATGGAGACTTGGGGTGAGTAGTGTTCAGAGCATTATCCTTGTGTGTGTGTGTATGTGTGTGTGTTTGTGTATATGTGTGTGTGTTTGTATGTGTGTGTGTTTGTTTGAATAGCTTATTTAAGATAATAAGCAGGTTTGCTTTACAAAGGATAACTAAATTCTAGGATAATACTGATGGAAGGCTAGATGAATTCATATATTTTCCAAAAGAGACAAGTAATGCTTTTAGATTTCCTAAATCAGAATACCCAAAACTCAATGCCTTTGAGTTGATTCCAACTCATAGCTACCTTATAGGACAAAGCAGAACTGCCCCACAGGGTTTCCAAGTCAGGAAATCTTTATGGATGCTGATTATCACACCCTTTCCCACAGAACTCAAAACACTGGGTTTGAGCTGCCACCCTGTGGTTAGCAGCTAAGCACTTAATCACTGCACCTTCTTATTTATTCTCTAGAAAATAGGATACATTATAGAATTTGATTACTTTGACAAAAATTGTTCACCCAAGAATAGTTGCTACTTAACAACAAGTGGTAGTTTTATGAGGGGGCTTCAAATATTTCACAGAAAAAGTCCATTATCTTTGAATTCCATTTTTCCATGAGCAACATACTTTATAGAGATCATTTCATGTATTCCCTAAAATAGTATGATATAAACATTCATACTTCCCTGGGTATGTAAAATAAGAAAATTGATACTGAATACTCATAATGTTAATGTATTTGAAATTTATGACCTTTTGATAGACATGGTTTTGGGTGTTTTTTGGTTTTTTTTGAGAGGAAACAATGAGAATAGACTTTGTATGTCTGACAAACCTAGGTTTAGATCCCAGGATTTTCAGTTGTTACCTGTGCCACCTTTGCCAAATTACTTCACTTGTTTAAGTCTCAGTTTTCTGTAAAATGTGCATAACATAGATTAAAATAAATAAGAACAATGTTTGAAACATAGCAGGCCCCCAGTAAGGTTAGTTTCCTGTTCTTCCTTCTCTCCTTCTTTTACCCTTCTGAATAGTTACACTGCTTGATTTTTTTTTTTTTTTTAATGTTCAACTTAACAAATCATACAATGAATTCTAGTTTTCTATTAACTGAAATTGCCACACGTCTACATTTATCACATGCAGATATTGTTTGTTTTTTGTCCTCATTCTAGACAAATTAATGTTACTGTGTCTTATGGAGAGAGTATTTTGTTTAAAAAATGCATTATGACAGCCCGGCACAGCCCTCTGCCATCGGGTCGATTCTGACTCATAACCACCGCATAGGACTGAGTAGAACAGCTCCTTTTGATTTCTGAGACTGTAAATCTTTATAGTAGTAGTCATATCTTTCTCTTGAAGAGCAGATGGTGGGTTTGAACTTCCTGCCCTGCAGTTAGAAGCCCAATGCATAACCCTCTGTGCCACCAGGGAGAGAATGAATAATGGTCTTCAAAATGGAATACTGACAAAAGTAAACATAGCCATGTACTTTAAAGTTCTGATTATAATCTCAATGAATTTTACTTCTGAGTAATAGACATAGAATTCTTTTTAACTGTATGCAGCAACTCAACTGAGAAGCAAGAGTCTGTGCAGTTTGCAGTGAGAACAGCAGAAAAACTCCTCAAAGAACTAAAACCTCAGACTATTCAGGGTCATGTCCAGCTTCGCATTATGGAAAACTATTGCCTAATGGCAACCAAACAGAAATCTAATGTTGAGCAAGCATTAAATACCTTCACTGAAATTGCAACATCTGAGGTTAGTAGATTTTATTTTCAATTTACTAAATTATCTTATAGTGGTGTTAAAATACATATTTTAATTAGCTGTCTATTTTCTGAAAATTATCTTATTTTTATTAAAGCTTAGATATATGTCATCTGACATCATTTTATACAATGTACCTTTGTTTCCAGAAGAGACAGTGCTACTCTTTTGTCACATCTTTATATGTTTTTCTCTCTTTTAGAATTCTGTATTCTTGAGAAAGATATACTAAGTTGATTCTCAAGGGAACTGCTTTATTCTCTGGAGAATTTGTTGTAGGTAATACCGAGCTTAACAAGTGAAAAAAAAATCTTACTATCTCACTATCTTGCCTTTTCACTTGTGACAGCTTGGAATTCTTCCAGCTCTAGGGCTAAATGGGGAGTACTGATGTGGCTGGAGCTTCAGGATAATGCATTGAATCACAAAGTCAGGTCAAACTGTAAGGTCAGTGGTTCAAACCCACCAGCTGCTACTTGGAAACCCTATACAGGGTTGCTGTAGGTCAGAACCGACTTGATGGCACTTCACAACATCAAGGTCTAAATCTAGTCCTGCTCTGGCACTGTAGCATAAGCACTGAACTGCCAGCTTCAGGGTCAGCAGTTCAAACTCACTAGCTAGCTGCTCCTTGGAAACTTTATACAGGGTTGCTATGAGTCAGAACTGACATAACACATAACAACATCAACAACAAGGGTAAATAGGATTCCTAGTGTGGTGCTATAGGGTAAACACTGGATAAACTGACAGTTGAAACCCACCACCTACTCCTCAGAAACCCTGTAGGGTTACTGTGAATCAGAAATTACATGACAGCACTTAACAGCAATAACAGGGCTAAATGAGGTCAGTACTGACAAACTTACAGTTCAAGGATGCAAATAATGATGTTATTAATTAACAACATTGAAATGTTGTGTGCCATTGAGTCAGAGAGATTCTGGGTTTCTGAGAAGCAGCTGGTGGTTAACAGTCCAGTGCTTATCCTATTGCATTACACCAGGACTCCCATTTAGCCCTATTGTTGATGTTGTTGTGTGTTACTGAGTCAGTTCCATTCGTAGAACCCTATATAGGGTTTTCAAGGAGCAGCTTTTGGGTTTGAACTGCCAACCTTGAGGCTGGCAGCTCAGTGCTTATCCTACGACTCTGCGCCACACCAGGACTCTACCCATTTAACCCTAGAACTGGGATGGTGCTGTAGGATCAAACCCACCAGCAGCTCCTTGGAAACTCTATACTGAGTCGATATGAATTGGAACTGACTCATCAGCACTTAGAAAGCAAACAAACAAAAAGACCCGTCCCTCCTTATGGGGCAGTTCAGCTCTGCCCGGTCATGTCGCTGTCAGTCGGGATCGACTTGACAGCAGTGTTGTCTTTGGTTTCCCCATCAGCAGTTTCCAGTAGCAAGGCCTAAGCTTCTAAGCATCATTATTAGAGTCCACGTTTGTTCTACCACTCTACAATGTCTTGTGCCACCAAAAACTCTTCATTTTGTATCTCCCTGAGAATATACAGAATTTTTCTATGCTTCCTTGTGGTTCCAAGGTCACAGTCATAGCTATACATTATTAGAAATCATGTACAATGACCCTGTCCCTCTTTAGGAGGGAGGCCCAGGACCCTGGTGGAGATTCAGATGCCTGGGGATTTGGGAGACTACAAGTCCTGTTGCCATTTGTGTGCAAATGTTATAGGTGTCAGCTTTATTGTCACTGTGCACCTACCCTGGTATAAAACAGCAAGGTAGTATCAGCTGCAGGAACCTCGCAGAGCCAAGCCCTTCTGCAGACAGCAGAGTGATGTTCTCTGGGATGTGCTCTGCTGGAGTGGATGTGTATGGAAGGTGGAAGGTGGTTAGCAGCTGCTGAGTGAATGGAGAGCAGAAGTAAGACAATGCTGGCTGTGTAAGAAAATCTATATGAACACGATTAAGCTTGGTTTCAAGTAAAGTGTCACGACAACTGAGTGATGTAATGTAGCATTTCATCACATAACAGTGAACGAGTTCATTTTGAGCAAATCTGTTGTTCTTTCTGTGAAATTTGACAGGGAGAAACCCAGAGGTAGTGAGTTACATTACAACTCTTTCCTAGAAAAAAATGGCACCAGTTTTCTACAGCGGTAGGACTACATTAGTTTTTTTATCACTTAAAGTTGTGTAACTAGTAACTATCCTGTCCTAATATCTGTTCTACTAACCAACTTATTCATTATCCAAAACCTGGTACATGAGGTGAAATTTCATAAACACTGCATTTTTTGTCTTGACTCACATGCTGCATATATTCAATATATTGAGTATTGAGCAGCCAGTGGGTGCAGAACACAGTGGGAATCACAATGATAAGCAACATATAGTCCCTTTTTCAAGTTTCTCTTCGTCTCAGGAACATGAGACAAGAATGCTGACTATTACAAAGCAGTATGGAGTTCATTCTATGTTAAAGTTGCAAATCAAAGTAGAGGAGACAGTACAAGGAAAGTAGGTAGATGCTTTTGTAGAGAAAGTATGATTTAAGAGGACCCTGGGTAAACTGCACCGGAGGAGAAAGAAAACTCATTGTGATGAAGGAGAAAGTATGAAAAGCAGGGAGACAGGAAAGTATAGGGTATATTCACAGCACTCTGAGGAACTCACAGGAGCACTGTGTTTAAAGTATACGGCTGCTAATCAAAAGGTCAGTAGTTCAAGCCAATTAGACACTCCGTAGGAGAAAGATGTGGCAGTCTGTTTCTGCAAAGACTTACAGCTTTGGAAGCCCTGTTGTTACTGTTATTGTTAAGTGCTGCGAGTCGTTTCCAACCCATGGTGACCCTATATAGTGTTTCTAAGGAGCAGCTGGTAAGCTTGAACCGCCGACATTGAGGTTCAGAGCAACTTTGCAGTCCAACACATTAACCCACAGCGACACACCAGGACTCCTTTGGAAACCTTATAGGGCAGTTCTATTCTGTCCTGTAGGCTTGCTGTGAATAGGAATCAACTCAGTGCACTGGGTGGTTGAAGAGGGGTTCATATTAATTAAAAAGGATGCATTTGACAGGAAGTCATAGGGGAAAAGGGTGAAAGATGCATTAAGCCACCCAAACAAGCGTTTCCACTTGTTTTCATCACATCACCTTGAAACATAAAAGTCTGTTGTTTATATGAGTTTACATGTAAACCTTGTCCTTGTGGTCTAAAATGACTGCAGTTTAGAGTAACTGAGAGTGTATGACCTAGAAAGACTAACTGAGGTGGTCTGCACTAGAAATCATAATGGGTTTAATGCAGGGGTGAATGTCTTCAGTTTATCTCAGGGGTCGTTGAACTTTGAGGAAGTGACTTGTTCTCATCAAACTCAAGGTATGTGATCTTAAAACTAGAGAGAAATAATTTTAACTCTATAAAGTGAGATATTTTCAGTATGTGAATAGATATGAGACTTTCTTATTTTTAACTTTTCATTGTGAATTACATGAAGATTTACAGAGCAGATCAGTTTTACATTCAGCAACTCATACACTTTTTTTTTTCATTTCAAAGATTGCAACCTCCTTCATGTACCATCATTTAACAGTATTTAACCTCTATTCCCTTTAACTCTTGTACTCTTCCCTGTGCCCTCCTCTGCCTTCATCTTTCTTCTGCCAACCTCCCTCATGTTGTATATTGCCTTTTTTGTCACCCAAGTCAACATGTTTCTACTCTAACCAGTGAATAATTCTTACTTCCTCCCATTCAGATAACTACCATCCAATGTTTCCTTTAGCATGAAACCCTTTTCTTGAGTGCTTACAACATTGGACTCTTGCAACACTTGCCCTTTTGTGATTGTGTGATTTCACTCAGCATATTGTCCTCCAAGTTCATCTGTGTTAAAAGGTGTTTCATAGATTCATAGTCATTCATCAGGGTTGTGTAGTATTCCATTGTGTATATGTACCAAAATTTCTTTAACCATTCTTCTATTGATGAGCATTTATGCTGTCTCCATCTTTTTACTATTGTGAATAGTACTGCAATGAACATGTGTATGCATGTATCTATTCATGTCACAGCTCCGATTTCTTGAGGATATGTACCAAGTAAAGGCCATAGAGCATTTCTACCTGTAACTTTTGAGAAAGTGCCATACTGTTTTCCATAGTGGTTGTACCATTTTACGGTCCCACCAGTGGTGTAGGCAAGTCCCAGTCTCCCAACACCCTTGCTAGCATTTTTTGTTTTCTGTTTCTATTATTATTTTATTAGTAATGCTGGGGTGATATAATATTTCATTGTTTTGATTTCCATCTCTGTAATAGTCCTGTTGAGGCACTGTAGGATAAGCATTGGTCTTCTAACAGCAAAGTCAGCAGTTCAAACCCATCAGCCGCTCTCAGAAACCCTATATAGGGCCCCAATGAATTGGAATGACTAGATGGCACAAAACAACAGCAGTGGCTAATGATCGTGAGAATTCGTTCATGTTTGTTACCCACTTGTTATGCTCTCTTTGGTAAAGTATCTGTTCATATCCTCTACACATTTTTAAAAAATGTTTTTATTGTGAATTAAGTGAAGGTAAACAGACAACATCATCAACCATACTTTCAACCAGTCATATGTTTTGTTTCATCTCAGTGATTACACTCCACTCACTTTAACAGTTTATTCTGCTTCCACCCTGTGGCTTCCGTTTCACATCTTACTTTTCACAAATGAACAAAGCAATATTATTTGATTTATACATACAAAGCAAAATATATGTATTAAATGTCCAAAGGGCACATTTGCAAGTCAGCTTCCTGCCCGCAGCCACACAGCCTTTCTCAGTCCCTGGATCTAGAGCACTCAGCTTCTCTGTCTGTGCAATTGCCTCTGCCACCATCTCTGTTGTTGCCACTTTTCTGGGTAGGATCTCATGCTCCACTTATGCTTTTCTTTCTTGATGGTCCTGGGGTCCTCTGTTCCTGAAATGAAAGATTAACTACTCCCTGGTTTTAGTTACACATCTTTTACAATTACACTTGTGGCATTCGCAATTAATCCTGCTTACAATTACTCACAATTGGATTATAAAATCCTATTAGCATCATTCCCCCATCTCCTTTCACCAAATTCATCTGGAAAAGAGGTAGTCTGTTCAGTGGGGAGTCTACCTTATCCCTCTCATTCTGAAAGTAAGCACACTCATAAAAAGCTTGTAATCCAGCCACTTCATTTCTTTATAGCCCCCCCATTTTTGATAGCCAATGTCTAAGTTCCCTGTCCCTTTCAAGTGCACTGAGGAAACTTGCTTGATCCTTGATATGTAGAATTACATATTTTTTAATTGGACTGTTTGCCTTCTATTTTGTTTTCTGCTGTTTTCGTGTTTTCAGTTATGTTTGATGTTGTTTTTATGCCATGTATCAAGTCCCTAAGGTTGTCTCTATTTTTTCATTGATGATTTTTATAGTTTGTTTAAGTACTACTTTTAGGTCTTTAATCCATGTTGGAAGACAATTATCTGGCCAACTGATTGGAAGAGATCAATATTTGTGCCCATTCCAAAGAGAGGTGACCCAACAGAATGCGGAAATCATCGGACAATCTCTTTGATATCTCAAGCGAGTAAAGTTTTGCTCAAGGTAATACAGAAACGGCTACAATCATACATTGACAGAGAGCTTCCAGAGGTTCAAGCTGGATTCAGAAGAGGCCGTGGAACGAGAGATATCATTGCTGATGTCCGATGGATCTTGGCTGAAAGCAGAGAATACCAGAAGGATGTTTACCTATGCTTTATTGACTACGCGAAGGCTTTCGATTGTGTGGATCATGACAAGCTATGGACAACATTGAGAAGTATGAGTATTCCAGAACACTTAATTGTACTTCTGAGAAATCTGTACCTAGACCAAGAAGCAGTTGTTCGAACAGAACATGGGAACACTGAATGTTTTAAAATTGAGAAAGGTGTGAGACATGGTTGTATTCTTTCACCATACTTATTCAACCTGTATGCTGAGCAAATAATACGAGAAGGTGGGTTCTATGAAGAAAAACGTGGCATCAGGATTGGAGGAAGACTCATTAACAACCTGCGATATGCAGATGATACAACCTTGCTTGCTGAAAGTGAAGAGTACTTGAAACATTTACTTATGAAGATCAAAGAGCACAGCCTTCATAATGGATTGCATCTCAATGTCAAGAAAACAAAAATACTCACCACTGGACCAGTAAACAACATTCTTATCACTGGAGAAAGGATTGAAGTTGTCAAGGACTTCATTCTTCTTGAATCAACTATCAACACTCATGGAAGCAGCAGTCAAGAGATCAGACGACATATTGCCTTGGACAAATCTGCTGCACAGGAACTTTTTACTTAGGAGACCAAATTATGCATTGGAAGACTACTGATACACATTCATTTAGAGTCAAGGAAGTTTTATAGTCCCAAAAGCTGTTTTCGTCAAGCTCTAATGAATTGCCCTTCTCTGTTCCAGGGTTTTTTTCTGACACCTAGCCATGATCAGTGTTAGATAGTGAACATTTTACATTTTACACTCCTTTGCAATGTCCCTTGTTAGTCACCTAAAGTTTTTCCTAGAGACCATTTTTATTGTGATTGTGGTATTATAATTTCTAAGTCAGCTCCTCACTTTTATTTGCATTTTTTTAAAATGATTCCTCTATGAAAGCATCACTGTTCCTCTGCTAAAAACTTAAGGAACACACATATTATTGCTTATGTTTCTACCAACTCTTGTTAACTTGCTGCTGACATTTTCTGACCTTGAACTCTATTCTAAAAGGATGTTATATTTTATAGACACTAGCACTATGGGCTAATGCATCAGACTGCAAAGTCATTTCAGCTGCAGTGTTGGTGGTTCAAGCTCACCAGCTGCTCCTTGGAAACCCTATACAGGGTTGCTATGGGTCGGAATCAACTCGATAGTTTAACAACAACAAATTAGGAAGTTGCAGACTTTAAAACTAAAAGTATGTTTTAAGGCATGAGTTAATTTCATATGATTTCCAAGTGATTAATTGCCTACCTTACTTGTAACATTTCATTGGTGGTGGTGGTGGCTTTGTGCCGTGGAGTCGGTTTCCGACTCATAGCGACCCTGTACAGAGACTTTGTGAATAAAAGAAGAGAGGGAAAAAGTGCTAGAGGTTTTCAAGGGTAAAAAGTATTATTAGCATTTGTAGGTGAATAATAATCCTATTTATTATTATTTCTTTTTTATAGTAGAACTAAGAAGCCAAAATGACTCTCAAACACAAACTGGTCAATATGACTTAGACTGAAAGAGGTTTTGTAGCGTAGTGGTTACGAATCGGGCTGCAAACCTTAAGGTCAGCAGTTAGAAACTACCAGCCGCCTGCGGGAGAAAGATGAGGCTTTCTGCTTCTGTAAAGATTTACAGCCTCGGAAACCCTGTACAGGGTCGCTGTGGGTTGGAATCGACTGGATGGCACTCAATAACAACAATAACAAAGTTTTACTTACACAAACTCAAAGCAGCCACTCAATCTTATTAACAATTGTATCCAACAGATAGTCTGGAATCTTGTGGTTACAATAGCTGCATAGTTACTGAATGATATCTACCAAACATCACAACAATCTATACTTAGTTCCCATAGAACCATCATCACAGTAATCTGGGCTAGAACCAAAAATAAAATTATTTGAATTCTTATCACATAGTATTTGCTACTTCACACATTTTTCCTTTCAAACATAGACCATTTGAGTGTTTGTATATCTGAAAGTGTAAAAGTTTTGTTTTTTTTACAGAAAGATCATATTCCAGCACTTTTGGGAATGGCAACAGCTTATATGATCTTGAAACAGACGCCAAGAGCCAGAAATCAGTTAAAGCGGATTGCAAAAATGAATTGGAATTCTGTCGATGCTGAGGAGTTTGAGAAGAGTTGGCTGCTACTTGCTGATATTTATATTCAGTCAGCAAAATATGACATGGCAGAGGAGCTGTTAAAACGGTGCCTGCGTCATAATAGGGTAGGTGAATGAAGAGTGAAGAATAATTTTTTTCACCTTTGTTGTGTAGGCTTTTTATAATAGAATAATATATAGAGTACTGATCCACTTCAAGGTTTCCTGTGTTCATTGAAATTATATTATTTCTCCTACACAATCAGGAAACAAACATAAATAATAAGAAAGAAATCATTTGCCCTTGAAAATAAAGGCAAAAAGAGATTTATGCAAGTTATTAGTTTCAGCTGTTGTGATGTCCCACTTTTCTAAAGTGTTCTTTGAATGTTAAGCATTTGCCTGTGATTATCCATCTCATTCCAGAACTAATGAAAATTGCAGAAGAACACTAATTAATATGTCTGTCCCTCTTATTCGGAAATACTATGGATGATTTTACTGCAGCTGTGTGTCATTTCCGCATAATTACAATACACTATACATAATATTTTTGTGGAGGAAAAACCTCTTTAGCTTTTAATTTGATTTTATAAAAAATTACTTTCTTTATGAAATTTATATAAAATTTAAAATACTACAAGTTTTAGGAAGATAAAGGGTTTCTTCTGAACACTTTGATGTTTAATCACACACCAAAAAAATGATGTCTTTTTACTATAACAGTTTTTAAAGTTGTGGATGTATGTAGTTGTTTATTGAGAAATAATTTACTTGACTTGAGAATATGAAGATATTTAACTTTAAAGATTAATATAAATTACTTCCAAATATTAATCATTTCTATATTTTATTGTCTTGAAGCAAATTAGATTACAAAATGAATCATTTGTTTTTCTAATAGGTAAGTTATGATCACTTAATACACTTAATACTATCAAGCTACTTTCTTAGGAACCTTACAAACCTAAAACATCAAGCCATTTATAAATTTATAGACTATTCTAAGTGATCAGTTATGTGTAATTTTAAGTATTGGCCTTGAAAAACAGATGTTGCTCATAAATAGACTATGAAAAATCTAAGCTGCAAAGAACAGCTGACCCATCCATCCATGGTCTAGGCTTAAGCATGATTTCATAGGATATTAAGGTTATGATGCACAGAGAATTTTAGCTTGGTTAAATGCTGGTAGCATTATGTTATGTTGACTGGTTGACTATGATAGCCACTTCAGGGACTTTAGTCTTTCTGATCAGACATGTAGATACTGAAAGTATAAGATCCAGAGCTAGAACTTAGAAACGTTGATTTACGGAATTAAAAAATGAAGTCACTCAGTCAGGCCTGAAGTGGGAAACATACAAGATGGCACATGACCATGCTGTCATAACAGATGTGAACTAGGAGCAGAGTCCTATCAAGGACTTGGGAGCCAATCTGAAGACACTTCCATGAGCCAAAGTTGTAACACTTTAATTTTCAATAATAGAAATAACTGGAGGCGGCAGACCTGCACAGGTCAAAATGAGACTATGAGTCAGTGGTTATATGCAGCGGCAGGTGAGGCTGTGGGAACAGGGTTGGGAGCATCTCCTGCAGTGTGAGCATGAGCTTTGCCTTACCTGTAGCACCTTCGCCCGTGTGAGTGGGGACCAGCAGGCCCCACAGCGTCATCCCAGTAAGAAGCCATTGCACACTGGTATAGAAATGTTGGAAACTGGTGAATAGCGACCCATGGAGACTACAGGGCCACCAAAGACAGTACTACCAAGACGTGAGGCTGCCCCTCAAGGTGAATCGCTGGCTGGAACGGTACTACGACCGTGACAGGGAGCAGCACTGAGGGAGACCAGATCCATGCCAGCAAGAACAAGGAGATTAATGGGACCAGGAAAAATGTTTGTTGGTGGCCTGAGCTGGAATACAAACAAAAAGGACCTAAAAGACTATTTTGCCAAATAGTACAATAAAAATGGATCCCAACACTGGAAGGTCAAGAGGGTTTATGTTTAGCCTCTTCAGAGATGCAATCAGTGTGAAGAAGGTTCTAGATCAGAAGGCGCATAGGCTGGATGGCCATGTCATTGATGCCAAAAAGGCCGTGGCTGTGAAGAAGGACCTGGTGAAGAAAGGCTTTATTGGGGTCTGAATTCTTAAGCCACTGAGAAGATCAGGGAGTACTTTGACGAGTTTGGGGAGATTGAGTCCATTGTTCCCATGAATCCAAAGTCGAACAAAAGTCTTTCCCATCTTGCAAGATGGTGTGTGAAAAGGTTGAGAAGCCAGCTACCAAGGAGAAGAAGCCCGAAGTCAAGAAAGCAGGTGACAGTGACAAAGCTAAGAAGTCTAACTTTAAGGTTAAAAAAAAAAAAAAAAAAAACCAGGAAGAGGAAACTCAGCTGCAGCTGAAATCCTAGTCCCAGGAATTGGCTGGTATTCCCCATAAGCTATGTCTTCCAGAAAGGCCATGTACAAAGGAAGTATTCAGCTACTAAATCTAGGGTTGAAAAGAAGAAGAAAGGTGCTTGCTACTGTCACAAATCCAGCTGGTGGTGACAAGAATGGTGGTACCCAAGTTGTTAAACTGCACAAAATGCCTAGGGTATTAACCTACTGAAGGTGTGCCTTGGAAACTGTTGACCCTTGGCAGAAAAAACCCTTCAGACTGAATGGTAGAAGACTGGTCCAGCATCACTACTGGGACAATCCTGATCATCCTCACTGGGTGCCATTGATGCAACAGAGTGGTTTTCCTGAATCAGCTGGCCAGTGGCTTGCTCCTTGTGACTAGACTTCAATTGAGCACACTGGAAATTTGGAGGAAGTCATTGCCAAAATTGCTAACAGTGGTGTAAAGATCCCCAAACAGCTCACGGATGCTTACTTCAAGAAGAAGAAGCTACAGAAGCCCAGCCACCAAGAAGGTGGTGTCTTCGACACTGAGAAAGAGCAAGATTACAGAGCAGCTCAAAGTGGATCAGAAAGCTGTGGACTCAGAAATTATGCCAAAAATCAAAGCCATTCCCCAGCTCCAAGACTATCTTTGTGCTGTGTTTGCTCGCACAAATAGAATTCATCCCTCAAATTGTTATTTTAGATTTCTTGTAAAGAAAGAACCTCATTAATTAACTGATACATAAAAACAAAAAAGATACGGCTTTGTTCTTATCACTTAAAAAGAAGAGGAAGCTGTGAAGAAGGTTTTGAAGGGAAAGTTTCACACTGACAGCAGAAGCAAGTGTGAAATCAAGTTGGCCCAGCTCAAAGAGGTCTACCAGCTGCAGCAATGGTGCTCTGGTGCCATGGACACCGCAGCCAGGGAACTGAGGCAGTGATGGTGGTGGTGGAAATAGAACTCAGAGTAGTAAAATTAAGGGAAGAGCCTAGAGACACAACAGCCATAGAGTAACTACAAGCCAAACTGGGGCGGCGGCAGCCGATACCGACTGACTGCACGCTACCTTTGGATATGTTGTTGTTAAATGTCGTTGAGTTGGTTCCGACCCATAGCAACCCCGTATAGGGTTTCCAAGGAGCAGCTGGTGAGCTTGAACTGCCAATGTTGCGGTTCGGACAGACCAACTTTGCAGTCCAGTGCATTAGCCCACCGCATCACACCAGGAATGAAAATCCAAATGACACTGAGATAGATCACTTCACACTCTACTAGGATGTTGTTGTTTTTCTTAGGTGCCATCGAGTCAGCACCGTCTCATAGAGACCCTATGCACAGCAGAACAAAACAATGTCTGATCCTGGGCCAGCCTCACTACTGTTGTCACACTTGAGTTCATCGATGCTGCCACCTGGCTAATCCGTCTCGTTGGGGGTCTTCCTCTTTTTCTCTGACCCTCCAGCTTACCAAACATGATATCCTTCTCTAGTGACTGTTCCCGCCTGACAATATGTCCAAAGTATGAGAGATGAAGTTTGGCCCTCTTGGCCTCTAAGGAGCACTCTGTATGCACTTCCAAAACAGATCTATTGGTTCTTTTGGCAGCCTATGTTGCTTTCAATATTTTCCTCCAACACCATAATTCAAAGGCATCAATTCTGGATCTTCCTTTATTCACTGTCCAGCTTTCGCATCCATATGAGGTTATTGAAAATACCATGGCTTGGGTCAGGCGCACCTTAGTCCTCAAGCTGACATCTTTGTTCTTTAACACTTTAAAAAGTTCCTGTGCAGCAGATTTGCCTAATGCAATATGTCGTCTGATCTCTTGACTGCTGCTTCCATGAGTGTTGATAGTTGATCCAAGAAGAATGAAGTCCTTGACAACTTCAATCTTTTCTCCATTGATAAGAATGTTGTTTATTGGTCCAGTGGTGAGGATTTTTGTTTTCTTGACATTGAGATGTAATCCATATCGAAGGCTGTGCTCTTTGATCTTCATCAGAAAATGTTTTAAGTCCTCTTCACTTTCAGCAAGCAAGGTTGTATCATCTGCATATCACAGGTTGTTAATGAGTTTTCCTCCAATCCTGATTCCACGTTTCCAAAACTTCAGGAAATAATCAAGTTTTGAGGATTTGAAGAAATGGAACCCTAGTCCATTGCTGGTAGATATGTAAAATGGTATACCTTTATGGAAAACAATAAAGATTTACAGCCTTGGAAAGCCTATACAGGGTTGCTATGAGTCAGAATCAGCTCCACAGCACACCACCACCACCAAGTACAATTCTCAAAAATAACTGAAAGCAGTGACTCAGAGATACTTGTACCCCAGTATTCATCCCAGTATTGTTCACAATAGGCAAAAGATGGAAGTAACTGAGATGCTACAAAAAGAAAAAACAGTGTAGCTCCAACCATTCCACATCCTCTCTACTAAACTGGATTCAAAAATTCATTGCAATGGCCATACAGAACTCAGCCACTTTGTGGTTCAAACTGACCTTGCAGTCCATCTCATTAACCCACAGCGCCACAACAGCACTTACATATATATGTATGGAGTCTGCTGTAACACTATAGGAGATAAGCATTGGATCACAAGGTCAGTATGAAATGCAAGGTTGGCAGTTCAAATCTACCAGGTGCTCCTCGGAAACAATATGTACGTATACTGCTGTTGTTGAGTGCCATCGAGTCGGTTCCACCTCATAGTGACCTTGTATATATAAAAGGGCTTCCAAAGAGCTGTTGATAAGTTTGAACTGCCAGTCTTATAGTTACCTGTCTAGTGCTTACCCTACAGTGCTACCACCAGGACTCCATGTACATATATATAACAAGAACATATATATTATATAAGCCCTGGTAGTGGTATAGGATGCTTACCGAACTGTTAACCACAAGGTCAGGTGTTCAAACCCGTAAACTGCTCCACAGGAGAAAGATGAGGGCTTCTGTTCTCAAAAAGCTTTACAGCATCAGAAATCCTACATAGGCTCACTATGAGTGAGAGTCAATTCGATGACAGTGGTTTTGGTATATATATTACATATACAGACACACATACACATGTGTAGCTATAAAACACACATCTCCTACCTCTTCCCCTAATAAATCCTCAATCTTTAGATTTGGGATATGACTTAGCATCAGAATTTTTTATTAAGCTTATTACATTTTCATGGATGATTTGATTGCTTGGCCTAGGTTAAAAACCATTGTTTTATGCATCATCTAAATAGATTAATATAGTTGACCTCTATGGTCATAAATATCCCATAAAATCTTAGTGGTATCAAACATGTAGTATCTATTGATGTCTTTTCTGTGTTTTCCCAGTCTTGCTGCAAAGCTTATGAATATATGGGGTACATTATGGAGAAAGAGCAAGCATATTCAGATGCTGCCTTAAACTATGAGATGGCATGGAAATTTGGCAATCAGACAAATCCAGCAGTAGGTAAGTTGAGCAGGTTTGAACACTTTCTCAACACATTTGCTTAGTATTTATAAATACTTATTTACTTGTATTTGATTATATTCAAAACTAAATATACAATAAAAGCCAGCTTCCTTTGGAACTTTTCTGGGAAGAATAAAATTTATAGTAGTCTTAACTACTAACAGTCATTAAATAACTTGCTGAAGTAAAACATGCATTCCCTTTGAGTATGTCTCGTGCAATTTTGACTTTCTTTTTCTTCACCCTTTGCTATTCTCAAACTGGTAGTGTTCTCTTGTCAGTCAGCTATTCTCAAAGTGTTCTCTTGTCAGTCAGCTAGGAAAACATTGTGTTAAATTAAGTAATGCAAAGCCTTTAAATACTAATGGATATTATGGGAAAATGTGGAGCATTTTCCTCCTGAACATTTATAAACATCTTTCTAATCTGAGTGTTTGTAGAACAATAATTTTGAGGAGTGCTAATCTACAAAGTTCCTAACAAATGGACATCCAAAATATACTTAATAAGATCATGTCATGCCTACTTTTCTCAAGTTTATTTTGCGCTGAAACAGGCTTCATGGAAACCACTTAAGTCTGTTTTTGGAGCAACATGTAGTATCCTTTCCTTCTTACAGACCCAAGCCCCCAAAAACAAACCGATTGCCATTGAGATAAAATCATTATCATTAAATCATTAGAAAACCCTAGAATACAGAATAGAGTTACACTATAGGATTTCCAAGTCTGCTGTCTCTACGGGAGCAGACTGCCACATCGTTCTCCTGTAGAGCGGCTGGTTCATTCAGTCCTTTGCTTCTCAACTAAACACTTAGCCACTGTGCCACCAGGGCTCCTCTTGTTAAAACAAAACAAAACAAAAAAAAATAATGGTCCTTTAATTGCAAACTTTTTTCATGTTTCTCTTAAAGTATCTCCAGATCATCCTCAGTGACCTGTCCATTCTCTATAATGTTGTTGTTGTTGTTATGTGCCGTGGAGTTGGTTCCAACTCATAACGACCCTCTACAGGGTTTCTTTTCTTTACGGGAACACAAAGCCTCATCTTTCTCTTGCGGAACAGCTCTGACCTTGTGGTTTGCAGCCCAATTTGTAACCACTACGCTACCAGAGCTCCTTAATACATGGTTTCAAGTCTTCCTAATCACTGTCTCCTGAAAGATCTATGTGTTTTCCAAACTGTGCTTTGGAATACCCTGAGAGATTGTTAATAGTTCTTTAAAAATACCAAAGACAAAAACAATCTGGGTGTACAGCATTGGATTCCTAGACCAAATAAAGTTTCAAAAATGCTGTTCTATTCGTCCATGCACCGTCTAACCTCTTGTAACCAGAAATGAACAAGTTCTTCAATATGATTTGACAAATTATAGGTCTGCTGAATGTTTATTTATTTGTTCTTGATTGGGTGATTTTCAGTTGTTAATTAATTCAGCCTGAGATGGCTTTTAGCAGACATATCACAGTATGGATTTGGATGTAGATAGCAGTCAGATAGGTCATCTTCACTAATTTCTATCAGTTCAGTTTTCCCCCCATCTTATATTAGTCTAGGGTCTGCTATTTTATTGGACAGGTATAAAGCAAAGGAACTAATATGTGTTGATAGTGTCTTTCATTCCCAGGTACTATTCAGGTTGCATAGAAGTTAACATATTTCAGATTATAGAAAAATCTTATTGTAGGGCAGTAAATGGCAACCCAGTTATTCAATTATACAGTGACGATTTCTTTAGCACTCAACATGGCAGGCAAACTGGTTCTTACAGTCATGATGTTTATAATTTATGAGTATCAAAATCATCTTGGTCCAGTGAAAATAGCTTAAATACACCATTAAAATACATGTAATTTTGACACCTAACAACAACAAGAATTTTGACACTATTCCAAATGAGGACTACATTAAGAAGATGATTTATAAGTACTCTGCTTTGGGGAATACTTCATCACATTTACAGATCCTTTCAAATCCTTACAAATGCTTTCATTGTGTCATCTTTGGGTTTTGTAGATGATTTAATCAGTTCCTCCAACTTTTGTTAGTAAGCATTTCTTTGAGTCCCTCCGTTAATTACTTCATTTCTTTCTTAAGGTTGTCATAACATCCAACGTCACCAACCTGTCTGGCCAAATTAACAGTGCATTTCACTTTCTCAATTATCAGAAAACCCTTATAATCATGCTCATGTTCTTCCATACGTGGTTTCAGATGAAACTATCTCCAGTGTGGAAGGCCCCATGAGCTGAGAAAAAGTGAAATGCATGTTTCTCCTTTGACACCTGGTTTCAGAGACAGGACAAGTGCTAGACTGTTTACATTATTCATTTTCTTTCTCTCTTCCAGTCTCCCTCCACCCCCATTTCATATAACTGAACTTAACAAGTACAGTGCAGCCACAGTGCACATTTCTTGGCTTTTCTAGCCCCTTTTCATCTCTCTAACAATGTGTGTACTTGTTGTTCTATCAGAATAATTCCACTATTAAAATGCTGTGGTCCTAGCTCAGTGTTTGTTTAAATGGGGGGAAAAAAGTCATTGCTAGTATGTGTTTAGTTTTCTAAAGTTCTTAAAATTATTTCACAGCAGATATTTCATTTTATCTTTCAAATTATAGAGAGGGAGGAGTTATTATTTCCATGTTATAGATTAGCAAACTGAAATTAGCAGGTGATGTGACTCACCCAAGTACCAGTGCTCAATGGGAAGCCAGAAAACAAAACTAAGAACAGGCTTTTTAATTCTGGTTCCCATGTCAACTATATGTAATTGGCACTTCACTTGTTTTCCTTTTTAAATGTCAGAACTCTGTTTATTAGTCTGTTTTAGAATTCTGTCATGATGACGTTGTGTTTCCCTGTCTGAAATTTATTGTTTTCATCTTCAGTAGTTCTACATGCATGCATATGTGTATCAAGCAAATATTGTAAATTTCAGATCATTCTTATTTATAATCTTTTATAGTGACTCTTGCCATCTAATTATACTGTTGTTAAATGCCACAAGTTATTTTCAAGCATTTGTTCGAAATTTTAGAAACTTGTTTGGGTGTAAATAGTAGCTTAACACAGTTCTGTTTCACATTTCTAAAGGACAAGGTAAAATATTTCATTTTAAATTACATATTACTGTATATTATATATGTGAGTTTATGGAGTACACTAATACTGTTGGAGCCCTGCTGTGGCGCTGCAGGTTAATGTGCTGAACTGCAAAGTCAGTTTGAACCGTGAGGTTGGTGGTTCAAGCTCACCATTTGCTCCTTGGAAGCCCTATAAAAGGTCGCTATGGGTTGATACTGAATCACTGGCACTTAACAACAACAGTACTATTACTTTTCTTTTCACTTCTTTAGTTATTTTACTCCTGTTCAGAACAACTAATTGTGTGGCACTGTAGAATAAGCATTGGACTGCGAATGACAAGGTCAGCAGTTCAAACTACTCAGAAACCTTGTACAGGGTCACTGAGTCAGAATTGACTTGACTGCAGTTAAAAACAACAACATACAGAACAACAGTCATTCAATTAAATCTTAAAACTTTCTTCTCAATTGTATTTGAAATCCAACATTTCTATATCAATAGTTGTGATAATTCTTACTGATAATTGATATGGAATTTCCAATGACTAATCCACTGCACTTTGTCACTCTTCTGCTTACTCTGCCCTCTCACCGTGTATTTCAGGTTCTTTGGGTTCTTTATGTATCTTTACATGGGCAGTTCCCTCTGTCTGGAAGTGATCATGCTTGCCATTGCCTTGGCCTAGTTCATGTCTCATCCTTCAGATTCCAGACATCCTGTGACATTCATTCCTTCTCTAGCTGGGTTCCGAATAATACAATTTTCTTAGTTTATATCTTTCATTCATAGCATCTAATTGAACTCTTATCTCTGTTTTGAAATTAAACATATTTCTACAATTGTTTAAATAATGTCTTTTTCTCTACTAATAAATTGTAAGCCTCATGAGTGTAGGAACTGGTTTGCTTGCCATGTTAAGTGGTGAAGAAATCACTGCACAATTGGATAGCTGTGTTGCCCTTTATTGCCTAGCTATGATGAGAATTTCCTACAATTGGATATAAATGAGACTTCTACTTATAGGCACCAGATACTTGTGAGATGGCAGTTTTCTAACTCTGCAATATGTCCATGACTGTCCATTGTCCCTGTTTTCATTTCTACTTGTTCTTCTTTTGTTTGTTGTTGTTGTTAGGTGCCAATCGAGTCAGTACCTACTCATAGCGTCCCTATGTACAACATAATGAAACACTGTCCAATCCTTGGCCAACCTCACAATTGTTGCCACGCTTGATCCCATTGATGCTGCCACTTGGCCAGTCCATCTCGCTGGAGGTCTTCCTCTTTTTCTCTGACCCTCCACCTTATCAAACATGATATCCTTCTCCAGTGACTGGTCCTTCCTGACAATATTGACAATATGTCCGAAGTATGAGAGATGAAGTTTGGTCGTCTTGGTCTCCAAGGAGCACTCACTCAGGCTGCACTTCTTTCAAAATGGATCTACTGGTTCTTTTGGCAGCCCATGGCACTTTCAATATTCTCCTCCAACACTATAACTCATAAGCATTAATTCTTCTATGGTCTTCCTTATTCACTGGCCAGCTTTTGCATGCAAATAAGGTTATTGAAAATATGGCTTGGGTCAGGCGCAGCTTTGTCTTCAAGCTGACATCTTTGTTCTCCTTTTAGGCCAGTCTATCTTTGATTGTTTCATTGTAGTTCAGTCACCAGCTTCTCTTAAAGAGTCTTCTAAACGAGTAAGCAAACTAAGGAATGAAAGAACGAGAAAAAAGTCATACTACCATTGTGCTCTATAAATTTTTTTTTTTACTGTGGTGTGATTTGTTGTTGTTGTTTTTTTGTCTTAACAGGATACAAACTGGCATTTAACTATTTAAAAGGGAAAAAATACGTGGATGCGATTGATGTATGTCACCAGGTAAACAACTAAATGTAGACTTCTTCAAAAATTTCAGATAACTCAATTTTCTACTTTTAATTCATCTTAAGATGACCTATGCCAATAGTAAACATATCGTAACTGTATCATTTATCATGTATCTGTAGTCTAACTCCTAGTGACCCTTTATAGCATTTCCAAGGCTGTAAATCTTTACAGGAGCAGAAAAGCCTCACCTTTCTCTCAAAAACTACTGCTGGTAGTTTTGAACTGCTACGCTACCAAAGCTCCTTATCCATAAACAGAGGATGTAGTATTTCAGATAAACTACTTATCAAATATATCCTAGAGAGATTATCAATTTTAAAAGTTTAGAAAATAATAACATTTCCTTAAACATGTATTTTAGTTTGGGTTCAAACAATAGCGTATTTAAATAAAAGGGCAGGGGGAAAAGCATAAATAACTTAACCTTTAAGTTAGAAAATATTTAAAGATTATATAGATTCTCTATGTCATTATTCTGAATAGAAATGCTTGTGAAAATGCTTAAGTTTCATTATTTAAAAACTCAGATGTACAAATTAGAATAAAGGCAGTTATGTAATTTACAAATCATTCAGTCACATTTCTTGATCTCCTTCTAAAATGGCAAATATTTTAAATTGCAGCCTTAGCAATTACAGTTTCTTTACATATACATTGTATCATGGATGTTGTTGTTGTTATGTGCAGTGGAGTCGGTTCCCATTCATAGCGACCCTATACAGGGTTTCTGAGGCTGTAAATCTTTATGGGAGCAGAAAGCCTCATCTTTCTCCCCTGGAACAGCTGGTAGTTTCGAACTGCTGACCATGAGATTAGCAGCCTGATTTGTAACCACTACGCTACCAGAGTTCCTTGTATCATGGATATAAGGCATTATATTAAATATTGTGAGGCGTTCCAAGAATGTATAAAAAAATTGTGAATTATGTAATGTCCTTTATCCCAGCTAATTGTGGAATTAGCTGTGGAATAAGCATCATTTTAGTAAATGCTTGTCATTTGTGATTGCTGTTGATTATTGAATCTCTTTGTAAGATTGTGTTTCTCATTAAGGTTAAGATTATACGTTAATGTTAGATTATATATTAGAATCGTTTGGGGAGTTTGTTCTTTAAAAATGAGTATCTTTCCACCCCTGATTTCTGTAGGCAGGGAAATTTGCTTCTCAAAATTGCTACAGATAAATATGATGTGTGTTACTGATGAAAAAAATCACTCTGTAAGAGTCTATTAAGTATAACTCAAATAAATTATAAGACATATAAAATTATTGACACAAACATGTTTTCTGCAACTGACATGTGAAAGTAATTTATTTGTTGTATCTTCTACATGTGGTATTCATATTCTCCTGTTATGTCTGATTGCATAGGCAGTCCCTAGATTACAAGCAGGTTTTATTCCTAACTCTGTCTTTATGTCGTTTTTGTACATAAAATGGAACAGTTTATGTATGGTTTATAGGAGCATCAGTCAGATGTTTGTATACCTTTCTATGCATAAAAAACATTTAAGAAACACTTTCAGATATACTAAAGCATCTTTAACGTAATAATACAATAATAGTAATAATGTTTAAATGCGTGTCACAAAGTTGTTGTTAAGTGCTGTCAAATCAGTTTCGATTCATAGTGATTCTGTATAGGGTTTCCAAGGAACAGCTGGTGAGTTTGAACTGCTGAACTTGTGGCCCAGTGTTTTATCCTATAGCGCCAGTCACAAAATAGTACCCATTTTTAATTATGTTTTATTACATGTACCTAGAATTTTTAAATACAGGCTTTTCAGGGCTTGGTTGAAAGCTGTGGGCTCTATGTGAATCTAACCCAGGAACTAACTGCCTGTAAATGAATCATTTCCCATTTCATATCACCTTTGAAAAGTGTTCTTGCTGTTGTCATAGTATTAGTATAATGAAACCTCTACTGTAATGCTCACTTCTAGTAAGTTTGTATATCCCTGGGACATGGTAATTAATTTCAAGTTCTTGTTTTTTGTTTTGCTTTGCTCTAATTTTGCAGGTTCTTGAAGCACATCCAACTTATCCAAAAATCAGAAAGGATATACTTGATAAAGCCCGTGCATCCCTAAGACCTTGAGTACTTAATTTGTTGGTTACACAGGAAATGAATCTGGTTTTTAGCTCTTCCAGTTCAAACCAAGGTTGTACTATTGTAGTGTAATAAAAATATACTTTTTTTTCTCCAGCAGAGGTTGCTGTTGTACATAGAGAAGTGCTATGCCAAATTGATGTTTTCTAATGGAGAAGGTGAATGAGGGCTTGTCTATTTAATTAACTCTCTTTTGTTTAGATACAGATTTGGCATCTCCAAGGTAGTGATTATTACAACGCAGTATATAAAGAAAATTTTGTTAAAATCTAGTTACAGTTAAATATCCTATATCTTTTTTGTAGAATATTAGTTGTTCATTTTTAAATGTTATTGTTCTCTGTTAACACTTTTGTAATGTTTTATCTTGTTTCAAAGACTTGAGCAAATCTCATGGTAAATAACTTATAAAAAATTAAACATATTTTAATAAAGACTTTATGATTTTTATAGCTTACATTCCTATTAGAACTCAGAAGACAGAAGTTTTACGAAATCTGCATAAGCTACTCATACAGTATTGTCATATATTACAGAAAATGTGACTGTCTTAGAAAAACATTTTTAGTAAATTAGAGTGTGCGTTGTTGAGCTTATCTTACTTACTCTCATTGTCAATGTGTTCTTTAAAAATTATCAGTATCTAAAAGAAAAGCACTGTAGAATAAGTACTGGACTGCTAACCACAAGGTCAGCAGTTCAAATCTACTAGGCACTCTGCAGGAGAAAGATGAGGCTTTCTGCTTCTATCAGGTCGTTTCTGACTCATAGCAACCCTGTATAGAGTTTCTGAGGAGTGGTTGGTAGGTTTGAACCACCTTTGTGGTCAGCAGTCCAGTGTTCACAGAACCAAACCAGGATCCCGGAATACCTATACAGTGTCACTATGAGTCAGAATACTCGATGACATTGAATTTGGTTTTGATTCAAAATCAGTTTAAATGGATAAGCCCTTATTGCAATATTTTCCTTAGCCCAGAAGAGGAGGTCTTCTGGTGTCACTTCAGAAACTTTAGTATCTGTTAGAAGGGGAGAGGGTAGTCTTCAGGGATCCACAAGGCACACCATGGGAAGCAGCTGCTCACCCTGTACACACACTTGACCCTATTCTGAATCATTAGCATTATTTTTGATTTGTGTTCTACACGGTTTCAGTGGTTCACAAAAAAATCCAAAAACCATCTTCAATCTCATTTGTATTTTCAGTTAACAAAAGGTATTTTTAAGTTATTTGATGCTTTTAAAAACTGCCAAGTGTTTATTTCTTTTGACTTACTTTCTCATCTTTGTAAACACTTCTCCAATTTTCCAAAGTCCTTTTAATTCCAGTTATATTATACAATTTTAATCCCTTTCACCTCACCTACCTTTAATCTGTGGCACATCCTAAAAACATTTAATAATAATTTATAAAGGGCTTTTTATACCTGCTCAAACACTTTCCCACTTTTTATTACATTTGATCCTTGCAACCCTATAATATAGTTAGTGTCAGTTAGTACTACCCTCCCTGTTTTACAGATTGGAGCTGTGACAAATTATCCCTTTCTCTTTAATTCAAGAAAGAAAAAAAGTCTTCCCACCTGAATGGGCATTGTTAAGAATCCATGTAACAGAAAGCCTGTATTGGTTCCAGGAAACTTGCATCACGGGATGTTACAGTTATGGAAATGGAATTGAAAAAGAAAAGCCTCTGTTTTTTCAATATGGCATTTCCAAATCAGAGTTTCTATCTGTAAAATGAAGCTTTTTATTTTGGTTTCTTAAGCAACTAGCTACACTTGCCACTTACTATCATTCTAGGGACTTTCTTTACATTATGGTGTAATTCTCACCCAACTCTCCAGATAAATAATATTTTCAAATAAAGAAAACGAGATCACATACTAAGTATGAGGACCTGTGTTCCACATTGGCCCAGCTGTCTCCAAAGCCTATGCCCTATTTCCTGTATTAGATGCCTTCCAGAGGTAATATCTACAGAAAACAAAAATCACCTTGTCTACATCTGGCTAGCACATGAAACTAGTAAGAGCCCTTGCCTGAAATTCCTTAACAAAACTATGTCCTGACAAACAAGATGAACTGAGTGTACTGAACAATTCTTACACATGTAGAAACTACCAAAGAGAAGCTTACATGAAGAGAAGTGTGATAGAGCACTTAAGAATATGGATTTGAAGTCAGGGTGGCTGGATTTTAATTTTGGCACTACCACTTAAACTAAATTGTCTAGTTACGTAGGCTCTCTGAGTTTCAGTTTTCTCAGTCATAGGATACATATAAAGGTAATACGACCTCAGGTTATTGTGGAGATTAAACAAGAGAACATATATAAAACTAATAATGAACTTGACTTGGGCCCTTAAGTAGTAGCTCTACTTACTCATTACAAGGGAACAATGCCAAGTAGTAATTGCAACTGAGGAAAAGAACCTTCATAGAGGAAAAGACAAGGCAATCAAAGAGATGAAAAGGATGAGTAAATTACCCTAGAGGTTTTTCCTTTTCATTTACTTTTTACCCATTCCCCACCATCCCCTGAGCACTAAACTGGACCCTTAACATGTGCATCTCCTTTTAACTACCTTGAAGACACTTTTGCCCTGTCCTCCTCTGCATGGGATTCTTGAATCTCTTCCTCCTCTCCTTTCCTCATCTCTTGACTCCTAGCTAACCTTTTTTCTCTTTTTTCAGCTTTTCTATTCATTCAGTATCAATATATTTATAACCTTCTCAGGTCATTACCTAAGGAGCACTGGTGGTGTAGTGGGTTACACATTAGGCTGCTAACCGCATGGTCAGCAGTTCAAGTCTACCAGCCAATCTGCAGGAGAAAGATAAGACTTTCTGCTCCAGTAAAGATTTACAGCCTCTGAAACCCTGTACAGGATCGCTGATTTGGAAGCACACAACCATCACCACCACTACAACCACCAGGCCTTTACTTAAAATAGCCATCCTATCATTCCATATCACGTTTCCCTCTTTTTCTCCCATATCATCCTTTTTTTAAAACTTTCTGATAGCACTTACTACTCTCCATGATTTTCCTGCGCAGCTATGTATTCTGCCTCACACTAGAATATAAGCTCACTTAAGGCAGGAATTACTGTATTCTCCATGCCTAGCAGAGTGCCTGGCATAGAAAATAGCTGCTCAGTATGTACTGAATTAATGAATAATCCTAACAACCCTCTAATTAATCTGCTGTTAGAATTTCCACCTTACAAATGTAGAAAGTAAGCCTTAGATAACATGACAGCCAAGGTCACACATCTAGGAAGGCTGGAAAATCAAGTTAGGCAGTTTAATTCCAGACCACTCTGAACCACTACTTAAAGAAATCAGTGCCCATGACATGTTAAATGAGAGTTTGGAAGCTATACTCAAAATGAAGTGGGACAAACACAACCGAAATGAAACATTTTTTGTAAACCTGAGACCTGACTTATAGGGAGCAGTTGCAAATTTAATGTATTTTTTTACCTAAGCCAGCTAGTATGTGAACTGGGTCTCAGAAGGAAGTAACCTTCTTTCCCAGGGGTCAGGAACCTGGAGCAACTCGAAAAGAGTTTTATGTATATGACAGCTGAGAAAGCGAGTATGAACATTAGGATGTGAGTAGCTAAGGACCTCACTATGGAGACAGAAAGACTAATTGGGAATCTGACAAGGTGCTAGCCTATTTTAGGATTAGTGAGGACGCTGGATGATGGTATGACAGTGCTAGTATCAGTAAATTGGCATTATCTTTTTTTTAATGAATTGGCCAAAGCGCAAGGAAATCACCATATTTACACACTGCTTGTAGAAATGCAGTGCAGCCTTTCTGATGGTTTTGGTGAATCAATCAATAGGCTTAAAATTTTGCATGGCCTTTGATCCAGTAATCCTACTTAGAAAAGTTTGCCACAGGAAATACTAAGAATCTTTTTTAAAATAATACTGAGAAACTGGAACAACTTGATTATGCAACATGAAAGGAGTGGCCAAATATGTTAAAGTTTATTCAGTAATGAATGAAATTCTGTGCAGTCATCAAATGCTCTACTACCAAAAAAAATTTTAACTCTCATTTCACTGATTTTTAATTGTTAAATTCTCACAGTATAGTTAAGTGGGAAAAGCAGGAGACATACTGTGTGATAGTTAAGGTTTTGTGTCAACTTGACTGGACTAGGATTACCAATGATTTGACAGTTGAAATGTAGTTATCCCCATGGTGAGATCTAATACAGTGTAGTTAGCTCTATGTTGATTGGCTACAAACAGTGTAGTTAACTCTACAGTGATTGGCTATGAGCAGATAGTCAACTCTGTGGTGATTGGCTGTAAATAGCCAATCAATTGAAAGGATGTTTCCTCGGGGTTGTGGCCTGCTCCCATGTAATGGACACTCAGGCAAAGTTTGCTTGTTTTTCTACTGGGTCTGAATCTTACATCTGGCTTGCCCTCCAACTTCCAGTTCTTTGGACTTGAACCAGAGGCCTGCTGTATTATCTGCCTGCCAGTCTGCTGATCTTGGAACTCTCTCAGTTGTACAATTGTGAGCTATTTCCGTGATACATACTTTTCTTTATACATATATAAGTTTAACTGCTTTTGCTTCTCTAGAGAACCCAGCCTAAGACACATAGTTATACATGTAATAACTCTTAATATCCATATTTGCTGCTAGTTATTTACACAATGTAATCTGATTTACTTCAATTTCTGGGGTAAAGGTTCAGGAAGTAGAGGATAGAGTCAAAGACTCCTCTAGAACCTGGCAACAATGGTAATAGAATGAATATAGGAGCTACTAAGTTAAGGAGTCCTGTAGGATGAACAGCCACTCCTCAGAAACCCTATATAGGGTCATTCTGAGTTGAAACCGACTCAGTGGCACTTAACAGCAACAACAACGTAAGGAGGGAGTCCTAGTGTGCCACTTTAGGATACCCGTTGGACTGCTAACCACAAGGTTGGCGGTTCAAACCCACCAGCCACTCCTCAGAAACCCTATACAGGGTAGCTATGAGTCGGAAGTGACTGGATGACACTTAACAACAA